GCAATCTAAAATGCCTTATTTTATGCTTGCAACACCATCTGATAAGGTTTCTATAAATTTCAGGCCCGTATACCACAAAATAGAATTTGGTCATTTCTTCAAAAATGTATGACCCCAAACATGCAGAAAAATAAAAAATAAATGAAGTTTTTTAAAAACTTTTCCTAGCCCCAAACAACTATAAATACTAAAAAATACCTTTATTTGATCATTTCAAGACTTTTCAGTGACCTTCCAAGTTCTATCTGGAAGAAGAAAGTCCTTTTAACATTGGATAAAATGTCATATGTCATATTCAAAAGGGAAAAATTCAGTAAATTATCAAATTTAACAAAAAAAATTTGGATCGAAACAACCGAAAATACCTTTGTTGATGCTCGCAACACCATCTGACAAGTTATTCATAAAGTTCAGGCCGGCATCTCTCAAAAAAACCTAGTCATTTTTTCAAAAAACCATGATCCCCGATATGCAAAAAAATTCATAAAAATGTCAAATTTCATGAAAAACTGTTTTTGACTCAAAACAACCTAAAATACTTTTTTTTGCTCGCAACACCATTTGACAGATTTTTGATAAATTTCAGGCCGGCATCTCTCAAAAAAGAACCTGCTTACTTTTTAAAAAAACCATGATCCCGGATATGCAAAGAAAAATGTCGGAAAAATGTCAAATTTAAGAAAATTTTTTTTTTGTTTGGAACAACCTAAAATGCCTTAATTTATGTTCACAACACCATCTGATAAGTTTTCGATAAATTTCAAGCCTGTATCTCTCAAAAAAGAACGTGGTCATTTTTAAAAAAATCCATGATCCCGGATATGCAAAAAAATTCAAAAAAATGTGAAACTTCAGAAAAAATATATTTTTTGCTCGAAACAACCAAAAATGCCTTAAATTACGTTTGGAACACAATTTAATTAACTATTAAATGAGCTTTCATTTTTCAATGCAATTGAACTGAAATGTTTGATTACAAAAATGGTTTTGAGAAGAATTCTAAATGATGTTTCGTGATAAAATAAAGACTATGGCCGTTTAATTTAGACGTTAAATAGCAAACCCTGCATTGTGATTTCTCGAAACTCAACTCTACATTAAAAATACTCTCATGAAATTAATAATGAATATAAGCCATTACTATGTACTTTATTGATTACTAAAGAAGTACGATTATTTTTGCTGGAGAAATTCCCGTGCCAGAAATTCAATTCAATGTGGTGTGAACTTTAATCTTTTCTAACAGCATGCTGCCAATGTTACTTCCACTTTGACAGGCTGACTCAGTTTACGTCACAAAAACAGTAGTTTCAGGCCCCTTTGGCTTTGTGAAAACTTGGCATGAAATACTAGACTTAACGGTTAATTTCGATACTTGATCGAGGCATTATTTTTATTGGAAACCTGCAGAATGCAAAAAATCACAAACGGCTGGAGAGTCATAAGATCGTTAAAAGATCTGTTCATTATCGGTCGCTCTTGAACATTTATACTATTAACTAATAAAGCCGCTTGACAAAACCATGCAGTATGAAATTTTAAAGAGAGGGTACATTCTGCACCCTAAAACGCCATAGAGCCATTGCAGATAAATCAAAATCTTCTTTGCTCTAAGCAATTAAAACATAATTTTTGTACTACCTCTATCGAAAAAGAAAGGTTACACCAGTAATGTGACTTCAAGGAATGCTGTGGCCCCCTCTTAGTCGAAAATTGTTTAGAAGGATTTGGTGGAAGCTTTGCTACTTCCTCAGAGTTTCAATGGTTTAGAGCGTTTGCATGAAGCTCATTTAAATTTTATTGTTTTGTAAAGTGAACCCATACACACTCTCTTTGGCAGGGGCGGTCTGGCTCCAAATTTAGAGCCCGGGCTAATTCGTCAAGAAAGGGCCCCGAAAATCAAAAATAAGTTTAAGGGTATCCCTAAAGTTGTTTGTTGTATCACTTCTTCATACTTCCTTAAAACGTTATTGGAATATTGCTATTAATTCTAATTAGTAGCCACCAGGGATGTAGGCGTAGGTGTAAAAGATTTACCAAGGGGATCTACAATCCTTAGTCCAGGTCAGCATCATTTTCACTGGAAATTTAATTCTGACGTAGAATAAGAGATGATAGAAAATCATGACATTGCGGGGGGGATTATCGTTTTCTAGCTGAAGGACTTTTAAAGAGGGGCCTCAGTGATAAAAAACGGCGAATGGGATTTGGAGGGGTCACCTTTTTCGATAACTGAGGCTCTGGTAGCCAGGGTAGAACTTAATGAAATATCTAAGTTTTTCAAGAAATATCTACGTTATTCAAGAAAATCTTGATATGTAATTTTTTAGTCAAAGCATAATAGGGATTGATGTTTTTTTATCAATGGTTGAGCAGCCAGGTTATCAATTGTTTGCACAGCAACCAAGATGGTAACATCAGTAACATAGGCAGGGCAGGCGAAACGTTACTTAAATAGGGGAGGGGGTGAAATGTTTAGATTGTTCAGGGCTTAAATTAAGGCCACCACCATGGTTAGAAATTCTGGCCGAATTCAAGAAAAAGTTTCGAAATAAAACATTATAGAGATTGCAAGAAAATGCATCTAGAATATTTGCCACATAAAGTTTGACGAAAGGACGATCCTAGGCAACACATACAAGCTTTCATTTAAAATAATTCCCCATCCCCTACTAGTTCCAGTTACCAAAAGGCCAAGATCTTATTCTCAAGCGACAAGACCTGCATATCCGACAAACAAAACTTTGAACAAATTTGAAATGCAATTATAAAAAATCCTGTATTGTCAATTGAGGACAGTAAATAAATGTTCTCAGTAAGAAACTGTCAAGAGTAACGAGTCTTCCTTTCTATGTTTAGATTTCAATTCATGTCTACATTTCTATGAGCATAAAGCTTGAAATGCATCTCAGTCTTCCAGCTGTATCGCGTTTCTTTTTATTGTTTGGTTTACAATGGGAGACATTTAAAAAACTTATTCATTTTTGCCGGCCCGTAGACTGCTAAACTGGATTGGAGGGCATGGATAAAAAAATATAAATTTTTCTATACCTGCCTTACGAAATACTGTCAGATCAAGCTGCGCTTATAAGATATTCAAACACAATTTTTGCAAATTGCTGAGAGCGGGCATTGCCCCCTGCCCCCAATGTCTACGAGCCTGTTATTTTGCAAAGTTCGTCAGGGCAAATCTCGCATGGTTTTCGCCACGTCAGCATATTTTCGAATTTACACTAGCACATTTAGACCACGCCAATGGAATTATGCCGAAATTTTGCCGACGAAACACACCAAAATTTGGCGTAAGCACCGATGTTTTATATCTAAGATCTTTGGCAAATCATTCATGTTTTATACTGGAGCAAAGTATGGATGTACCGCAGCAAAAATTTGTCAGAGCTGAGGGGGTTGAGCCCTTCTGCTGTTTTGATCTATACTCTCAAATCTATTTGGTTAGCCTTTAAATAATGTACCTTTCTAGAAATTGAGCCACAAAAATTGTCATGTCCTTACCACCTTAACCTATCATTAAATTAAAACATTTAAACTGAGGGCCCGAAGAGAAAATTTATCAGATTTCGGAACTTCCAGTTAAATAACGTATTATTGTATTAGAGACAGTGAGCCCTAGGCCCAGGATTCTCCTTATTTACATGGGGCCCCAAATTTTGGAAAATGCTTTTTCAGTACATGAATACCGCAAAATGATCTTTTTATTCATTCTCTATTCACAGAAGAGGGCCCCTACCAAACAATATGAGTTTTCATTTAATAGCAAAATTAAGAAAAAATTGTAATAATTTTGGGAGGGCCCACCGGGCGATCGCCCGGTAGCCCGACCGGCCAGCCCGCTCCTGCTCTTTGGTATCGTCCTTGCTTGTCGCGTGTTCTTATAAGGTAGCAGCAGAATCGTAATATAACAGTACTGCAGTATTTTAGCATTTGTTATAATATAGAACTTATTTGTGTATCTATTATTGTAAAAAGTACTAACGTAGTTTCTGAAATTGGTTTATCAAAAAAACTTTAACCTCCTCAGTCTGAACCTAAAAGGCATCCCTGGTTACCAATCAAAAAACCAGAGCGATTGAACTGAAAATTAAATACTGCTTTCATCCCTGAAGTAGATTAACAGCTTGCCAGGGGCGTGCTGTCGACGCAAAACTCGTATAGGGCAAACTTGTCTGCTGCCTTCTATTCAGCTATTTCTAATAAAGGAGGTACAAGCTTGATGTTAGCAAAAAAGGAAATACATAGGCAATAATTGCATGGTATCCAGCGATCAAGCATTTCCTGTTTCCAACGGCCCATGCAAGAGGGGTAACGGCATACACACCAGGATGGCTTCTCATAAAAGTGTCAGAAACAAACAGTTTGCTCACCTGAACCTTTATCGTACCTGTAGTTGAATTCATTCACGTAGATGATTAGCCGGACTATCACAACAACCTTCAGCAGCAATACTTTCTTTAGGTCTTTTTAGGCACTGTATGATGTATGGCCTTCTTATTTCATGTTGGCTGTCTGGTAATCCAGGTGAAAAATATGGTCATCTTGTTATCTTCACAGGTTCTGAAAGTAAATAATTCATTTTGTATCACTCCTAGTTGATATGGCTGAAGTGGAAGTGTTGAATGGCATTTGCAAATATTAACCGCAAATATTGCAACCTCTGAGGCACGGGGGGAAGCATATTATGATACTTTAGATGATACTTTAGATGATAAATTCTTCAACAATTAGACATCTAAAGACTCTGTCGCAAAAAACATAAACAAAAGCAGTCACTTACATCTAGAACACAATTAGATATCATTTTGGCGAGTTTCCATGTACACTCTTTTTTATAAGACCCCCCCCCCCTTTTCCAACCTCGTGACGGCCCGCCTCTATTTATCCTCATGTGTGTGGCTTGAAAAATGTGGCTTTTATATGAGAACAATTGCTATTCAATGGCCGCTTGGAAGTTGCTTGCAAAAGCTTGTCTATCGAATTTCAAATACAAGTTCCAACAAGTATTTTAGCTAAACTCCAAGTTGTTGAGCTCTGAGTAACTTTGCAAGTCATATTCCAAAACCTTTAATTTTGTACCTACGAAAACGGAAGAAAATGCTCAATACTCTCAAAAGTAAAGTTGACCGAAAATCTTATGAAAAATGATATTAATTGCATAAAAAATTATCTTATTTAAGGTACCAGTTTAATTACAAGACGATAGCAATTCATCGTAATGCTTTGATAAGATACAGTTACAGGAGAAAGAGGACCTGTGAAAAAAGGCCAACAGCACAGAGAACAGTCTTAATTTTTAGGAGGCACAGACTTTTGACGCGAGCGATCACTTGCGATCGACATAGACGATACAAAGCCGGTATATCAAAACACAGGAAACATAAGTATGTCTAATTAACCACATCTTAACGGAAAGTTGCAATCGAATATCAGACAAGACCCACCGCAAACTTTTATGACCATTATAGGCACTGTATATGATATGAACGTCATTAGCACTTGCAACATCGTCTTGGCCAATGATATACCTAATATTATAGACCATTTTAGATACATAATTCATGAATTTTTCTGTCTGTCGTTTGGAACCTAATATGGCATGAGTAGGACAGTGCGAAAGTTTTATATTTAGTTTGTCAAATTGAATTTGTAGAAAAGAAATTTGATTTGAATCAAATTTCTTTCCTCTTGGTAAGGCCAAATTAGAAATCTTTGTCGTGAAAGTGTACCCCGAAGATATTTTATAGGCCTAAAGATACGGGGAGGGACGCATTGTGCTGAAGAATGATTACAAGCAACGAGTGTGGTTAGGGGCGGTCTGGCCCGGGTGGCAAAGTGGCGATTGCCACCAGGGCCCTGTGTACAAAAAACTCAGAAAATTTTGGAGAAATGGAGAAAAATTTTTAAATGTCAAATACTTAATACCCTAGACTGATTATATTGCGATTAAAGTCCCAATACATGCGCTTCAAACCACCCAAACCCTGGTTTCCGTTATTTCAGCCATGTGTTCAATCTTACGTGTACCCTGGGTCCCAGAGCCACAAAATTTCGAGCGCGTAAACAGAATGCCAAGCAGAGAAGCGAATGAGCGTACTCTTATCTTCTATTTCCGCTCTCTAATTTATGTGGCTCTGATGCCCAGGGTATCTGACTGTCAGAGACAGTGCTGTGGGAACGAAATTCATATTGGGGGGGGGGCGGCTGCTCATTGTATTTATTTCCACTTAGTACACTGTTAGACAGGACATAAGGCTTAGGCTGCAATTATTGGGAGGGGGCTTCAGTTAATGAAAATAACGTAAATTTAAAACAGGAAATTCAGAAGAGAGATGACAAGGGGTCGTCACTATCATCTGGTTACAGAGATCTGTATCAGGATTTAACAGTGCTAAGAAGATTTGTTGACACAAAGAGGAAGCAAAAGAGCAATAAGAGCCTTTTTCAAGATTTCAAGTTCATAGAATGTCAGAATTGCTGGCATTTGCAAATTGCTACCAGCAGCTTATAGATCAAGTAAAAACAACAACTGGTGGAAATAGAGATCCTGAAAACAGATGATCTCAAGGAACAAGCTCTCAGAGAAGAAACAAAGAGAGAATTGACCCCAAAGTCGACATCGACACCCTTTATCAAAAAGGTAAAAGCTTGCCAACTGTGCATACCCTGCACATTCAAAACTTTGTACCGACGCCCCTTTTTATATTTATATTTTCTATTATATATAGCAAATTCATAAGAACATGGGCATCAAAACTGGTCAAAAGTTGAGAACAAATTAAGAAAAAGCTAAGGTTGAGTTACTGTAAAATGCAATTTTGAACAACATTTTAACCCAAAAACGAGGATTTTTAGCCACGTGTGGGTGCTTTTAGCCATGTGTGGTCAAATGAAGGCTGTATCACTCACTTTTTTGGCAAATAAGGCCTGAACACCTCCCTAGAACGAAAAAGCTAGCAATCGCACTGCTTACACCATATTAATTTAAGAAAAAGTCAAGAGCAATCCACTCTCGGATTTTTGAAACATTAAGAAAAGTGAGCCTGAACCTAAATTTGCTGGTTGTTATAAAAAAATTAGTGAATACAACATGCACCTAGCAGCATACCCTTCCCTCTACAACGCGTATAAATGCTTGATGACACTTAGCTGCACCCAAAATTCCTTTGAAAGATTATTCAGCGCTACTGATAATTTCAAAAGAAGAGAAAACTTTCCACTTGATTACGAGCAAGTCATTGGCCAATTTGCTGATTCATTTGCACCTCTTCGAAAAGAGTTGAAACTTTGAGAATTTAGATAAGTTTTGATCTTGATTCTTAACTCTACATGGGATTTTAAAGCCTGTTTACACGAGAGGAAAGGTATGGATCCAATTGGGTCCGAATTTACGAATTAAAGTCGATATACTGCTGCTGTTTAGCGTATTGCTTTATTATCAATTTTTATTGAATCAATCGTATTCTAAGCCACATTTTTAGTGGATGTGGCTCAATTCTTCCCGCCGCGCCCTAAACAGGACCCTTGGGTTTTCTAGCCACCCTGCGATTTTGACGCCAGACCGCCCCTGGTTTCGAAGCTGCTTATATCTTGGCCATAGTGCTGGATCTCCCTCAGACCGTCTCTTAATATGGTCTCTCTCGCACATCAAATTCTTGATGCTTGGAGAAATCCATGGTACATGTGCATGCCCCGTCTTAGCGGTCCTTTTTTCAACGGGGCATGCACATCCAAGACAGCGAGAAAGAGATCGTAGAAATTGCTAGCCATCCTATTACGGTCATCCCATCTACATGACGTAGCCATCTCCCAGTCAATACTACGCAAGTCATTAAGGAAAGAGTCACGGTCATAATTTTTCAAACTGCGTGACTCTGTCTTAAATTTCACGTCATTGACATGAACTAATTTGTGATTTGTGACAGTTAAATTTTCTAATACCGTATGTCATATAGTGGTCTGTAATACCGATTTTTACGACCGATACATTACAGAGGTTGTTGGGTCTGTTTGAAGAAAGGTGATCTATTAACTAAAAGGTTTTATTAGGCTCTTTATCTTTATTTTAGTTAAGTTAGGTGAGCTTCTGCTAGATGCCCAGAGCATGATAGGTCAACTGATAAATTATTACTGAATGTTTTATCTTCGACAAGATCAAATTACGAAATTTACAGCAATGCTGACATTTACAGGAGATGTTTTGTTTTTGGTTCTGGGAATTTCGATTTGTTTTAAGTTTTGATAACAGAGTCTTTCCGATGGTTATACGAGAATTACAATACATGAACTCTAAATCAAAGTGACGAGGAAAATTCACATTTTGTGAACAAAGCAGGAATCTGGGATAGCCGCAAAAAGACATTTTCACAAATTCCAAAATTCAATACTGCACATTTTGGAAATCAATACTGTACGTTTTTAAATTAATACTGCACAAAGTGTGTAATACTGCAAACTAAAATAGGCCCTGGAAAGAGCATTATCATTCAAAAAAGGAACATGCACAAATTACGTAACAAAATACAGGCAACATTGGAAAAATCCTCTTTCCCCTAAATTATCATCTGATTTGCATCATTTATTGATTATTATGACCGTAAAAATTTGTGTGAACCCCCTCCCTCCATCTTTGATTAGGTAATATGTGAACGTTCCCATACCCAACTGCCAACGCATCGACAATCTTATCCAGATACAACCATTCTGAATGGAAAGAACATAGGATTGTACTCAGTTAATGCTTCAAAAGTGAGAACCCTCTCAGCTATTGGATATCAGGCATTTGAAATAATTCGCATTAGTCATAATTGTTGGGGAGATGAGATCTCACTCCTATTGTTTGAGACAAAAGGCTTAATGATTTGTTCGAGCCAATCAACGTCGAGGGGCAGGGATGCATGCGTATTCTAACGAATTATCCCTACAAAATCCCGGGCATCCTCAACAGCAAAAGCCAGGGAACACAACGAGATCTCGCAAACATGTCTAGAACAGTAATTTTAGTAATTTCTGAGGAGTTTCACGCATATAATTTAAGGACGTATTTTCGTTTATTTTCTTTTAGGGGTTTCCTCGGAACTTTTTGTAGATGTAGTCAAAAGAGGAAGATCAAAATTTGAAGCTTTCCGCCTAAAAAATTTGAATAATTGAATTGAAGGTACGTTGTCTGTTGTTTTAGTTGCCTTGGTCTGGCTCTAGTGTCGGAGGTCAGTTAAAATCAGGTTGTAGTGTACACTTCGAATGTCTACTCTCTATAAACACTCAGGCCGCGTCATAAAATTCTCGATATTTTTGCTTACCTTTGGAAGTAAAGTGAGCCTTAATACCAACAAAAAACATAAAACAACAGAGAATCCAGTCAGGCTTTTCAGTATGAAAGATATTTCTGCTATGATCAAACTCCCAGGTCAATGTGAATATTAAGCTCCGACCGCTCACTTGGTTTTGAAATTCAATCGCAAAGTTCTGTTTGTTCCTTTCTCGGGGGGTTCTATGCCTCTTTGACTCAGAATATATAATACGCATGTGCAATGGCCCCAAAACGGGGGTACTCATTTCATACTCAAGAACTTGCTGCATCTCATCTCCCCATCAAAGAAACTAATTTGCGTTAGTCATAAGTCTTGGTTAATCATAGGTCTTGGGCGTTTTTGAAGATTTCAGAAAACCAATTAACAAATTATACAATTACGAGGAATTAGCAAAAACTGGTGGAAATTTGATACATCATTGATATAGTTTTTCTCAATTCAATGGTGAAACTAAACTAAACTGTAAAATCTATGACGCCGAAACCATAAGCACAGCGAACTTTTTATGCAAACGTTCTTTCGAGATGTCAATTGATGGTTGTAATCAATTTTAGTTCTGTGCGAATATTAATAATTGCCTTTCGAAAGTTTTCGAGTTTTTTGAAAAATATAACTCGAAGCAAGGGCGTGCAGGGAAAATTTCGCCATGTCCTGGTACCTTGTAACAGGAATTTATAAACTATCGGACGCTCTTGTCCATCGTTAACGCTAGTATCAGAAGCAAGGCTAATTCGGAAATGCGCATGACTGTGTATTTCGGTTAGCTAAATCGCTAGTGCTAAAGAAATCAAAATATAAGAGCATATAGAGAGAATATAATTCTTGAATGAAGACCATCGAAACGAAGACAGATTTTCAAAAATTAACTGAAAAGAAGGGATGTTTCCTTCAGATTTCGAACACGGGGTATGCCTTTACTTAAAATAATTGAAAAATCTCTACTTGGCAATCTGGCACTAGACATCCCCCTAAGAAATTTTTTAGCACAACCCCTGAGTGAAACATATTGGTACTATATTAAGCCGCCTCATTTCACTTATAGGCAGTTTATCAAGGTCCTGGATGATTTTCGTTTTGAAGTAAAGCAAATCAAATGATTATGAAACAGATTCAAAATATCCATTCTTCAAACTCACAACGGGGCAATCAATAGTTCTGCATATTATGTATATGAGCATTTAATTTGTTTTGGATGGCAATGAATTTCTTTTCCAATTGTTGAAAAACAAGCAAGAAACATTGTTTAACAGTAATTCTCGCAGTATGGCAATGAAAAATTATTTACAGTGCCAAACAGTTAAATTTGCCAATGCATTGTCATATGCTGTGAGAACACAATATACAATTAAAAAGATTGCATTTGGATGCACAATACTTTATGCTGTCAGAATATTTATGGGTAATTGGGGTTTACATGCATGAAGCGGGTCCAAACTTTCCATTTTGAGCTGTATTTGAAGATGGGCAAAACATATTCTGATTCTGACTTAACTCTGTATTCTTTTCCTTAAAATTGCATCCTGAAAAAGCTAGTTGTGAAATAAAACCACTGTAAGATCTACATAGCTTATTGCAACAAGATACATTTAGCTACAGCTGAATTGAATTCCTTGTCCATAATTGTAACTGGCCCCGCATGCATGCAAATTCGGGCAGAATTCACCAATCCAAATGCAACTTGCATTTGAATAGAAGATAATATGAAGCACTTGATTGGTGCATTTTTTACTCTGGGCCTAGCCCCAGAGTTGGGAGCTGGCTTCTGATATGTGTTATTGTCAAGCTTCCAAAAGTAATGTGGGCAATGGGATGCCATTAAAAAAAGAACAGTCTGGATGCCATTAAACAAACTAGAGAATGGACAATTAGTAAAACTCTGGGCCACCAAATAAGAAAACAGTGCTTGAATTTTCATGGGCATTTATCAGGAATAAAATAATAAAACTAAAAATAATTCTTTAAAGTCTATGGTATTCCTTTTTCTGTAAATACTTTAAATCAAACTGCAAAATACTCAAGATTTTAGTATGACTCAAAATATTTGCTTTTTTAAAGCCATTTTTAAGTTTGGTACAACCAAGACATTGTTTGTAAGATTTAAACTTTAGCAGTGAAAAGCCATCTTTGATGGGTCTCTTAAATACTTATTATTATCACTATTTTTTTATCATTATTATAGTATAAAAACATGTATTTTCATTGCCACTAAGTTGAAAAAATCAAGAAAAGAAAATACTAAACCATGTTGGTCAGAATGAGGAATGTGACAGTCTAACAGTTATATACAAAATTTTACAGTTTTAATATGTTGATGTCAGAGTTTCAAAGTGTTGATTTTTTTAAAAAAATATGACTATGACAGTATGGAAACATGTATGAATTTAAACCTAAACACAATTTTAACCATCTGCTTGATGGAACTGGTTTAGTATCATAAGTAATAGGCAGTTTGTACAATAACCCAGTTTGCACAGTATGACTTATGACAAGATCCGGGGTGGGCCAATAGCACCACACCTCAGGTGCAGGTGCTTAAAAGATTACCCAAAAATGCCAGGTGCATCAGAACTATCAGTTTTTCCATAATTAAATTGAATACATCTAGTTTTTAAGTTGGCCTTCAAAGACACAATGACTGCATCTTGGGTGTGCCATCTCTATGCACTGCATAAAGGACCATAGCTTTACAGCAATCCCAAGTCCTCTAAAATACCATGAACATTAAATTAATTTCAATCTGCGTTTTGTACAATGTGAAAGGATTATATCTGTCACATTCAACAGTCCTGGTAATAACTTCATAACCATTCAATAGCCCTTGTCTTGGTAATCACTTCATAGCTCACAGGCTGCAATGAAATTTCTTTGTCCCTTGCAGCCTATGTTGTCTTTGGCAGATAATGATATAAAAATGGGTGAACAAAGGTTTTATTTTTCTATTCTCAGGCACCCCTGACGGCAGGGGTGTAATGCTAGGGGTCAGAGGGGCTGAGCCCCCCTTGCCCGGTCTGCAGAGTATGGCACTTTTCGACGAGATCTCCGGTGTGCACGAGCAAAAAGCCTGGTGTGCCGGTGTGCACAACCAAAATGTCTGGTGTGCTGGTGTGCACCGACTTTTTTCCTCTGTTGTGGTTGAAATTTATGAATTTGCATTTCACCGTAAAAATGCGTGTGAAGAATACTGTTGAAGATAGCGCAAGTTTTTATTTGTATATTTGTCAAGTAAGATTCATGATATCTCAAATTGTTCATACACAACTGTGCTTGTTCTTATCAGCTGACATTTTTTTATGGGACCACACCAAGCCACACCCATCTTAGTTGCCACACCCAAAAATACCCGGTGTGCAACAGGTTTTGCTCAAAAATATCTCCGGTGTGCACATGCCATACTCTGCAGACTGGCCCCTTAGGCCGTAAGCTGTGACCAAAAAAGGTGCTCCAAAATCAATTTTCGTTGCCCGCATCCGGGCACAACTTCACGACTGTTTTTTCTTGTTTATAATGTGTTACTTAATATAAAATCAGTTGTTGTCACTCTGACAAACATGCATCTCGTGAGATACGGGGGTCAATAATTTCTAGGTTTTATGACGTCATCGATACAGTCAAATTATTTAAAAAACATTTCTTGACACAGAAACTTCCCTCACCAGCTAGATCACTTTAAGTTAGTATACAAACGTGCAACTTAGAGCGTTGTCAAACGCTTCGTGTCTGAGAAGATGCCTTTTAACGGTTGATGACGTCATCACAACATCATCATGTATTATGGTCAAACCATCTGTTTTTGTAGTTAACACCGTAGTTAGCAGCATGAACGAGCTTACAGTTGGCAAATGCGAGTAAGCTTGTTCATACTGTACGGGTTATTCTCGTACAGTGCTGAGGAGAGGGGGGTCAGGGGGGTCACTGACCCGGGGGCCCATAAATAATAACTCAATTGAACAAAATTTCTAAGTTATAATCCATCCTCCTCATCAACATTAACAAAACATAATAGAGACAATAATGACAAAGGTCCATGAAGTCGTGAAGAAATTTTTGTTAAGAATTTCTCATCTTTGTTGGTTAGTTCAAAAGCTTCTGAATGTTACGAAATGTGATTGCAGGGTAACATACAGGGCAATATGTATGTCATACAGATTTACACTATGGCGTTCGCATATCCCTAAATCTTGTGCCGATAACCCACTTGTTTTTTATTCTCAGTTATTTAAACGTATCATCTTGTACCTGTTATTTTCTATTTCTTTCTAATTCACAGGAGGGGTGAGAACCATGGATTTTCCGACAAAAATCTAACAAGCTTCTATATCTTTCACATAAATTTCAACATAACATAACGACATCAGAACTGAAAAAAGATCATTTGATATATTGAATATTCTTATGTTTATTTAGATTCAAATTTTTTCCATCAAAACATAGCATTTAGATAAACATAGAATCATGTTAGATTTTTGAAAAGAGCAGAGGTTTTCCGACAATATAGTAGTATAGTAGTGTTTTTGCTCTCTCTGGCCCCCTCTATCTACACCATTGCCACCGGCGCAGTTCAGCCACCATGACAATTTTAGCAACCATAATAGCCACCCTAGCAGTTTAAGCAACCATAATTTTCAGAAATTTCTGGGGAGCATTCCCCATACCTCCTAGAAGCGTCTGCCTTAGGCATGCCTTATAATTTAATTTTTGTCCTGACCCGGGGCCCATAAATTATATCTGCGGCCCTGTAATCTCGTATACAGGTTTTGAATAGTTAATGACGTCATCCCTTTATGATTTTTGTATTTTACTTTCTTAAATCAGGTTGAAATCAATAATTTCATGAAAAACATTTCAGCTATTTAAGCTTTATAAATGCGTTAAGAATAAAACAGTGGTGGCACCAGCTGTAGCAGAGTGGGAGGGTAATGGGCCTGACCCAGGAGACTACGCCTTTACTGTCTCATTTTAATTGTTTTTTAGGCCAGATGCATTTTCAAAGACAAATTTTGAAAAATATGACCTGCCCCTACCCAGTGCATTTTTCATCAATTTTAGGAGAATATCTGGACAATGTTTTGCAAGAGGGGATGGGGGGGGATAACCGTCCATACTACCCCTTGGTGCCGCTACTGGAAAGCAAGAATGTCAAGAATGTATCAAAAAACGATCCATTTGTTTAGCCGACCGCCATGTTTATTTTAAAGCAATTGGTACTTAGGTATTACCCGGACTGTGAGATAGGGCCGAGAATAATTAAGCAGCATCGGCTTTCGGCATTCCATGTTATACACCTTAAGCGCGGGAATAGTGAAGTTTGAAGTTGAATTCCAAGAGAATTGCAGGTTTTTACAGTTGACAACAAAAAGATTCGTAATCAGCACGAAAAAACACACAGGAAAATGCTTATTAAACGTAGTGCCAGAATGAGGGCAGCGAGACCAAATAAAAATCTGACACAGCTTACGGCCTACCTTGCTAATGCCGAAAAGTAACCAATTTCTACTTTTGCTATTGTTCTTGCAACATTTTGCGCAAGAGCCCCCCTCCCCCCTTGTTATTTGCGTAAATCTTGGAAACAGTAATTTTGAGGTGCAAAATCAAATTAGCAACAAACCTCATCCTTACGAAAGTATTTGTCCGTGTAGAGGGCACATTCCCTGCACCATCGCTTGCTGTATGCTTGCTTCCATTAGGTTGTCAAATCGAGGCTACAACATTCGAATCGAGCCAATTTTTTCGGTCCCCTGAAAAGCAACTTTTCTATTTAAAAATTCTTGTAAACTTTAACAAATATGCCGGTGACATAAATGTTTCCTTTCCTTAAATTTTCCTAAAATTCGTGTTATTGTTAGTTCTGGCTGTCATTTTAATAATTTCCATCCGTGGAGATGGAGAACCACGTGCTGTACACAGGCACACATATAATAGGAGCGTTGGGGCGTGGGGATTCTTAGCACTTATAACAAATGTATGCTAAGCTCTCCCTGTACTTGTAGACCTCCCTAAACCTTATCATAAATTGCTATGATAAAGCTGATGAGAAGCCACAAAACATTGATAAAGAAGCGGCAGCACAAGTATTTGATCAAAGAAGAGTGTTTTATCTTACGAATCGGGCATATGCACTTGCCCTCAGATCACCCTTTCCAGTTGCAAAGAACAAAGGACATTTAGTTTTCCTCGATCAAGAACAAAAGATTAAATGACCAATTCCTTGATGCTTCTATATTGTGAAAAAGATATTTTGTATAAAACTGATCTGCAGCAAATAGCCTTAAGACTAGCAAAGGAAAAAAGAACAGAATTGACTTGAAAGAATATCACTTTTTGCCATTAAATATATCCAAGATCTAATATTGGAATGGCTTTGATGTTTTTGTTACGTTAATCAAAATTTAGAGGTCTCCTTTACCTTCTTTAGTGCTTTTATGCTTAAGACTAATTATTACGAGTAAAATGTTGGTAATTATATAGGAACTAGAAATCTGGAATAAGGCTATTTCCAAAAATTAATTTAGAAGGTACAGTAGATTATCAAGTTGAAAGAAAAATTCCTCAGGTAAAGTTGAATTTTCATCCTTCCACGACCCTCTAAACTTAGCCACTTGTTTATGTACCTGGCTGTACAGCCCAGAGAGGGCACTTGACTAGGAAAATGACAGGGGTGTGCAAATTATCATTTTTGCACACTGACACTGTGGCATAAATATATTTTCCAAAAAACACCCTAACCCATTAACGCATGCCAAAATAAACCTGTTCTCATAATATTTACTACTATGAGTGTCCCCGGGCTGTACAGAAGGTTGGTTGATTTCCAGTGGAAAAAACTTTGGTCATGCTTTTGGACATTCGATGTAAATTTCGCGTACACTAGCAAGCAATTGCACTGCATGCACCCTAATACTTTAAGAACAAACTAAAAACAATCCAGTCTCAAATTTTCGGGAAAAAACAGAACAACAAACTTGACTGGTACAATTACACTACAATTAACTGTTACAAGACGAAAAGGTACGAGGAACGGAAAGTGACAATTGATTAGCATTAAAAATAAAGTATTAGAGTGAAATTGACATGAAAAATGAAGGTGGTAAATGGGTCATTCTCATCGGGTTGTAACATCATTTAAACGTTCCCGTCTTCAGAACTTGTTCTCTCACTTCCGATACGACTTCCTCATCGTGACATGAAACTTGAATCTGAAAATTCCCATCCGACTTTAGGTCGCTGGACATTTTCTAGGCCCCGTTGGGGTTTCGTGACCGTGAATCATAGAATAACACACCAGAATGCGTCACTCTCCCCAGACTCTTTTCGAAAAACCTCCTATGACATAAACCCCTCATAAAAAACTTGTGGTCCTTATTTTGAAAAAAATATATGCAGATATAGAATCAGTGATGCTTACTGTTTAAGAAAAAGTCTTTTGTAAAACTTTGTTTTTTTCATATAAGTAGCATTTTAATCTAATTGCTAAAAATCTCGTACAATCAAAAAAATATCTAACTTTACCAAAGCTAATCAAAAACAAAAAATTTTAATTGCTATCGTTAAACAAGATGTAAATCAAATATTACTGCCCAAGCCCTAAGATTTTTGAAAATTGGTGTAATGAGATGAAAGGTGTAATGGTCTGTAGGTCAACTCATCTGTTGTTTTTTGTGTTAAACATCATACAAACCTTTTTATGCAGAATTCGGATTTTGACGATATTGCAAGGCTTGCTTTGAATTATCATCGAAAGGAAGGTGAAAACTGTCAGGGACTGAAATGGTAGATACAGATCTGTAGCGCCGATAGTTTGGTTCAGTGTCCCGGGGCCGGTGCTCATGATTAAGGTGTTTTTACTATTGAACCATAACGCATCATTCCAGATAAGGCTTTCTTCTGTAAGGGCCCAAAAAGGGCCGAGATTCAATATAAAAATATTTGAAAGCAGTTATGTGTTGCTTTGAAGTAAAAAACAGGGATCTTGAGCCGGCTAGCAAAGTGGGTCCGTCATAATAACAAGAAACGATGGCCTTACCATATGAATGACGACCGAATGGCTTTGCTGTGCTGAGTATGGAAAGTGATGTTGAAATTGAGTTGGGTATCTCACAGACAAAATCAGACAAAAAGAAATGGAACAACTCAAGGCAAATTTATTTGATAAAATATACATTTTTATTGAATAATTAAAAACAATGATACATTTACATACCTAGTAAAAAAAATTTAATTATAGATATAAAAATTGATACAGAAAGATACAGATATAATTCTTTAGCAATCAAAATCACAATATTCTTATAATCAGCTAACTCTATCAAACAAACAAATTATAAATAATTATAGGATTTTCGCATAATTCATCCATGTACTTTATGCTTATAAAAACACGATACGCTTAGAAAAATTTTACATTGTCATACAAACACATTGCAGTAAAAACTAAGTTAAGCACAACATAACTAAGAAAAATGAGTTAAATTTCAATATAAGTGGCTTTGAACAATCAATCCATTTTATGGCATCGAATAACAGGGATACAAACATTCTAATACATAAACTTTTAGATAAATACAATAAAATTGATAAAATACATCATAAAATCTTAATCTTTGCTAACTAACAAAAGTGTTCTCATAAGAGACAACCTAAAGCTAAGAACATAACAGGCTCGATACCACAATAAAGGATTGTACTTTGTGCCTAACAGTGACCTTGACACCCAAAATAAACTTATAATTAATATTTCATATCGAAAGATAGTCAAAGAGCTAATAGCTACGATCTTTAAATGCATGACTTGACAAGGCAATCCTCAATTTGCGTGTGACTTTTGATAACATAAAAAGTTTCACGTAACCTGATATTATTGTGGCAAAATGAGAGTTGTCTTGAGGCTGCCTATTTACATTGCTCTTAGCTGCCTATCTATTCAAGTTTACATTGCTAAAGCTAGCTTTATAGAAAAGCGACTCCAGTTAATGAACCGAATCAATATTTACGTACATTTAGTTAAGGTATGTTTGTATGCAAAGCAAAAAACTAAAGATTAATATATTAACGTAAAATGCTATAAAAACACAGGTTAAAATTATGATACCACATGTCATTTGTTAAGGAGGAGCTGCAAAAACTTCATCACCTACTTGGATAGCACATTCTCCACTACTGACGTTCTTCGCGACCAAATATATACCAAACTCCATCTACATGGACAAACAGACAAGATTTAAAAGTACTGTAATGAGACAAATGGCTTCTAACTAGACTTTCCCTTGTAGCTAGGTAGCAGAGTTTTGTCCGTACTGGGTTAGCTAGTAAAATTTGGCATTAAAGAGGCTTATGATTTTTTCGTTAAAATCGATTATATCAATTAGACATCTGTAAAACACCCTTTGTCTTATTACATTTTTGTTCCGGTAAGTGTATCACATTTTTAAGTTGGCAACATAAAAAATAGGCCCAGGAAACCTGCAAGAAAGCCTTGACAGAGATAAAGACGAAGGTATGTTCAGAACGAGCAGCTTGCATTAATAGAATTTTGGTACCCAGTTTTTCTTAGACTCACACTGCCACAGTTATACGATGTAAATGTCAGAAAGCAATTTAAAGCAGCAAAAAAACTGTTTGAATTCAAAGGTATCAGTTGAAATTCTGCTTTTAAAAGAGACACTAGAGTAGCTTCACATGAAAATTTGTCTGTTATTAAAAGCAGTATTAGAATTCTATTTAAGAATTTCACAAGCAAAATGCTAGACCTCCCTGCTTCATTTATTCAAAGAAAAAAACCCACATTGAAGGGTCATGCACCGTGCTTTTCATTTAATACCACTAAAAAGGCTCATACTTTAAGGTTGAGGTAGTTAAAGCGTCGCTATTGAATCAAAGCATAATTTGTGGCTTTTTGTGAGTATGCAGCAATTAACAGTAAATGTCATACCCGAGATCCACGCATTCTCACGAGTGTTTCCAATGGCTCTCGATTTCTGATTGCTGTTTTCTGATTAATGCATATCATTTGACATCGCTGGCACTTTCCTGATGTCTAGAATAGATAGGGGTATATAGACAAAGGAGACAATTCAATACAGATCGAGGTATATATTCCTTTATTATCCCAAAACCACCCCGCTGCAGCTCTGTGGTTCCAAACATTGTCCTCTGTAATTTAGGTAGTCTCTTGAGAAATTAAGTCAATGACGTTGAATTAACATCTGCAAATAGAGGAATATCTTTATTACAAAGCTAAAATACAAAAACTCTACTAGGACTTAAAATGGCAAGGCAAGAACAGCTTGCATTAATAGAATTGTGGTACCCAGTTTTTCTTAGACTCACACTGCCACAGTTATACGATGTAAATGCCAAGATGCAATTTGCCTGGGACTTAAAATGGCAAGGCAAGAATCAGCTTGACTAAGCTGGCATTGCAATATGGCACTGAGGACGGTTGATCACATTATGAAAAATTTTCATGGATGGGAAGGGTCGATTCACAGATCTTCTGCAATAAAGTATGAAGCAACCAATAGGGGGAAGCAGATTTGAGCCTATAAAACGTCAATAAGCACACTGATATCACTATTTCACGATCTCACCTACCTTGAACCGAATCACTCCAATATTAACCTCCTTCCAGGTATCTTCTTCGAATGAGCTATTGCCACACACCAAGAAATTTCCACGAAATGAGGCAGCGAGCTCGAATAAATTCCAGTATTCTCTGCTTCTTTGAAACCCGTTAAAGAGCTGTAATAAACTGTTTTCCGATATAAGAAGGTATTGAGACTCGTTCGACAGTGAAAGCTCGTGCTCTTCGTTTGATATGTCTGATAGGCAAAATGCAATTGATTATAACAAATAAGCAGAACGCAACAAAAAAGCCATTGAAAGCAACAATATTACGAACTATTCGAATTTTTAAGCTTCAATATAAGATTTTATAAAAGCATTTCTTGGGTTTTTCAAAGCACATCTTATTCGAGGCAGCCTAGGGACTTCTTAATTTTGAAATAAATTCGATAAACTAATTTCTTATCCATGGTAGAGAAGAAGCTGTAAAATGTTAGTAATACGTCATTGCAAAAACATTATTTGAAGATTGAAGCTCGATATCAAAAGGCACCATTCACTTTTGTGCATTTCGCAAGAATTTTCCGGAATTAACATTATGATAGAAAATACTTCTAATTGATAAAAAAGTCAATTGATAAAAAGAATTTTATTCATTCACTGGTTCAGTTTAATGAGTCAAAGAGTTTTCTCATCTGAAACAAGCTGAAACCATTGGAAATCAAGTAATTAGATATTCGGTTAGTTAAGTACAGAGCAGATGCTCATACTTTGATATCACAAAAATCGCACTACTCTGCAAAAATACATATTTGTATTATTTCTATACAAATAGCACCTACACGAAATCCACTTCCTATTGTAAGATTTATCACACAGAAACACTTGCTAACGTTTATTCTTCATGCGATAGAGTAAATTTTCCAGACAATTTCCTAACTTTTTACCTGTTTGATTGTTATCTTTCGATTTGCTTTTCAAAAATCGCTTTTGACCTGTGTTTTGTCTCACCAGCCTACAAGATACTCCCAGAACATGACCCAGCCAGCCAGCAACTTCATCACCACAGTCGTCACAAGAAACTCTAAAAAATTAACGTGCTTCAGCATAGTTGCTAGGGTATCTGAATTTCCAAAATACAAATTATTAGTCGACAAAGTCTGATTTACACGGGGCGAATATCACCGTTTTGATTTTTTGATACCGCAACGAAATTGGAAGAAAGTAGGAAAGAGTTTTACTTTTTCGCTGCAAAATACTTCATGGCAACTGTTAATATATCAGTGCACGGTGAAGTTACTTTACTTCTGAGAAAACAAAATATGAACAGTCGCCATGTCTGAAAAACTTTGGATTAATGGAAACCAAATATAACTTCGCAGAGAATTTTTGGCCTCGTAGAAATCGAATTATGATTTCGCAACGACTTCGTGGCGAATCCGCATCAAAGAAATAAGCCCTCCTTCGTATAGAAAGTGCTACCAGACCAGAACCGGATACGTGGAGGAAAAACTCAGATTTGATGCTCTAATGCATAAACTTTTCTGTCACGTTGGATATTCTTAAACAATGTTCTTCAATAATCGCCTGGGTATCAAGATTCTTCTCTTGCTACTGAAACTGAGAGTAATGATGAGCAAGAAAGTAAACCGTCAGAAACAAGACTGTAAACAAAAGAAGTTGATTATTCGTTAAGAAAGATCATTAGGAAATAAAATGAAATGACAAAATGAAACAACAGATTTTGGTAAAGTATATATCTAAATGGTCTACCTTTGGCCACAAACCCGCGAAAGGCAATGCTCTCGGTCGTGCGCTTGTAGAGGTTTGCAAACACTTTTTTCAAGAGGTACTGCTACGTCAGAATAACCTTTGGGTAAGAAAAATACTTTTTTATAAGAGGCTTGATTGAAATGATAGAAAAAATTTTTTTCAAAATACAATTGACACTATCCTTTTAACTAAACATACCTAAATTACCATGATTTAAAATTTGAAAAAAGGTTAACAAAAATCCAGGCCTTCGATCGTCGGTCTCGTCAAGTTTTCTACTCAAGCAGCAAGCTCCTTTTTCACATTTAGGAATGCTGCATAAATAGTTAAGAAATAAAAGCAAAATAGGACTACAAGACTGGACCACAAAATAGGACCTGCGATTAAAGCATTCAATTATCTCGATCGCAAAACTTATCGATCAAGACAATTATCTCTTTAAGTTCTGCTTCACGTCAAAAGAAAGAACGCATCGAAGTACTGTGAACATCTGCGCATGAGAACCTTAAATGTTGCCTTTCAGCCTGAAATTACTCCTATATCTTATCCGGCATGAGCACTTATGTAACACAAATCTCAAAGTAAGAAAAGGTAACACGGTTCATGAGCAACCACCTACTACAAAATAGCAGCACAAGTGCAAACTTTTCAAGATAGCACAAATTCAACTAGATATAGCATGCTTTATAAAGTTACACGATAATCTTTTGCCTCAAAATTAATCGGAAAATTGCACAGGAAATACTGTAATACACAAAACTGAAAAACAGCAAACCTTCACAACTTAAGATCAAGACGCCTTTGTTTATATCAATAGCTGGCTTGATAAACACCATGCGAGGCTCTTTCTTCTGAGTAAGTACAGAGCCGTATTCTGTGATTATCATCCATTCTCTATCGTATAATAAACCCCTATCACTCACTGTCCATTTTGATACCTAAAGAACACAAAAATAAACTGCATTTATGTAAGAAATTGTGGATTGATTGTGAGTCTTCATCTAATGAATGAGCTTATTGAAATAATCAACAATCTGGTCCATTTTACACCAAAGTTTCGTAATATTTTCTTATCGCAACTTATTGTGCAATTAAGAAGTTTAGACAGTGAAATTATACTCAAATGCAGAGGAAAAGCAGGTTTATTACATTAGAAATCAAATTTTTTGAAAAAACTTAAATCCTCTATAGAGCACGTAAGTGTGATGTCATAACAAAATCTAACTCATGAAATTTTGACTTTTGACTGCATAACCTTGAGGACACAAGGCAATACTTAGTTGATTTTGTTGAAAATATGAGTGAGATATAGCCAATGAAAGATTCTAAGTTTGCTAAAGGATTAAAGTTCGAACCGAGACCAACTTACAGTGATTTGGTTGGAAAACAGCCCGTGCTCATGTGGCCAAATCTCTGCAATTATTCTGTTATGCTTTTTCAAACTGACTGGTCCGAATAAAAAACACTAAAGATATAGTTATGACATCATTATTTATGCCAGCCCATTCGGGTGATTTCTAGCGCTATCTTTGCTTGAAAATGTATCATCTACAATTTATCGGTCCAGCAATTTTCCGTTATTGTTAACAACAAATTTATGAAACAAAAGGTTGAAAGTGAATTTGAACATGTAGAAGAAGCTTATGTTACCTCAAATGCAGCACAAGACTTGACCGGATAAACGTATATTCGTTTCAAGAAGCATTTTGGTGACTGGTCCAAAAGCGATTGGTTTTCAATATTGGCATGGCAGCTAGCATCCTCTGTTTCATCAGCAGATGGACTCTGCTCTTCATACCGGTGGTTACAGACAACATCGTGGGGCTCATCAAAATTGATTGTCTGTTGCCCAGTCAAAGCACTATGAGCTTCTTGAACGTCAAAAGCACTTTTAGAGAGATCTTCATAAACTTCTGCATTAGAAAGTTCACTTTGAATTTCTGATGAGCCGATTGGTACGAGAAAACAATCCTTAAGAAAACTGAGAAAGGTCCAAGCATCTTCAAAACATGACATATATCCGAATGAAATGCGGACAGAGCCAGTGGGAAGTCCATCGATAATGTCCATCTGATCTCCACACACGTGCCCAGCGTTGTAATTCGAAAGCAACTGATCATCGCTTAGGCAAAGATGCTTTTGGCAGTCACCAGTGTTGCAAAAACAACCTGTGCGCAGATGAATGTTCGAAAGAGATGCTAGCTTGTCCACCTAAATTGAAATGACTTGAGCTACAACTAAAATGCTATGACACTAAACAATAACGAATAATATAATTTGTATTAAAAGAAATAAGATACAAATGGGGTTTGTATTGAACGAAGAGGAATTTTTATAACAATGATAAGTTTGAAGTTTCATTTCAACACATTTGTAGTGACACTAAAGATATGCAGGCCCTTTTCGTGCAGACCCTGCGAACCAATGTGCAGACCTTTTTACGTGAACTTTCTTCAAAAAGTTACTTATATTTTGTCAACCCAGCGCGCAGCACTCAATCTCCGACCAGTAGAGATGCTAAATTGAGTTGTGTACCCATACAATGGCAAGTTTTAATTAGATTTTAGCGGCTAATTATAAAAAAACTCAACAAAAACTCCTAATTCAAAGCTGACTGCTTAAAACAACGAGCCGCTGTATTTTTCAAAAGAAGAATTCATTAAATGAATCAGCCACATCATTTGAAAACCATCTGGCTTCTTTACCGTATGGTTCACTAATAGGATGAATCCTCAGTACCCCGAGACACTTTTTGGAAAGCATATAGGTTTTGAATATAGCACAACAAAAGCAATAGCTGGAGATTCAAGCAAAGAAATCAACCAATTATATTTGATTAAAAATACTGACAAATGTTCAATTAATCAATTAAAAATTTATTAGCAAGAAGATGCTGACGAGAAATAGGGTGTGAAAAGCCTGGCAGTTAAGGTACCTGACTGTATCCTATGTAATCGCCGTTTGAACTGATGAGATTGAAGTTAATCACAGGGCCTTGGCTCTTGATGTTATCGTAGCCCATGTCACTATAGATCTTGCAGAGATGAATACCGCTGAAATGCCTCATTGACTTCATTTCTTTGTAGGTGTATTGCGTCAAAGCAAAGGTATGATCTGAAATTGCCAGCATTGGGCCAGCATGCGATTTCAGCGAGTAAAACCCATGCTTCAATGCAATGATGTTGAGGAAAGAGCTAGTGCCATCTTCGTACCTAAAAAAGAAGTTCTGCATCATTGTAACAATTTAAACCACGTCGTGAATACAAAAAGTGCAAATCGGTGAATAAACAAATAGATTTCAAAGAGAAAAGAATCGAAACAGGCTCTCAGTTGGACCTAGGTAAGAGGAACTAGAATGAAATTTAATATCTCGTTAAGGTTATCAAATTTTATTTTACCTTATAAAATACTAAAATGCCAATTAAAAAAAGAAGCACCAATCCCAAATAGCCGCTTACTTTGGAATGACAAATCGAGTACTTTATAAAACAAAAGATAGAACAGCAGCATATATGAATGGCCTTTCCTTGGAAGAAGCGACCCCCGAAAGAAAACAATCTTATAGTACTGGCCAAGCATCGAAAAATCCTTTTTGACTTCAATACGTGCTGCTGTCAAGGTGCGAATGAATATAATGATTAAATATAACGGTTTGAAAATGAAAGTAATCTTTATGCTGCCTTATTCCATTCCTGCCAAATTTGCTATGTAAGCTATAATGCATAAAATGCATACCAGATCTGTGGTAGATTGGATAATGAACTAAAGAAAAGCCAGCAGAACAAACCTGTCAGATACTTCGTCTCTGAATACCCGATGATGAGTTGCGCTAAAAGTAGAATAAACGGTTCCTCCTCCGTAGTAACATTTAGGCCTGAATGATTCGACAGCGTCAGTCCTCATTATCAAGGCTCCTATCCCAGTGGGATATCCGAAAATTTTATAAAATGAAATAGGCACAAAATCAGCATTGATTTTCGATAAGTCGAGTTCATTGGTGCCAACATATGAAGCAGCATCAAGTAGTACATACCATCTTCCATGTGGCTTAGAAAATGGAAACAAAACACCTTGTTTTGATAAATCTGTCCATTCAAGAGGATATTTTCTCCCACAGAAGTTACTCATTGCAGGAAAGGCAAAGAGGCTGGCAACCTGACGAGTGTCATCTACTGCATTAATTTTGCTATGTATTGATTTATCACGAGCTTGTTTTGAATTCTTAGAGTGTTTCGCACACTTTATATTAACATGTTGATCTAAGATAGCTGCGTTCTGTTCATCAAAAGTAGACTTTGCCTGCTCGAACCTAAGACCAGTTTCTTCATCAATTTGATCAGAGCTTCTATATACTTCGTCTGGCACTAACTTGAGAGCTTCTAAATCCTCATTACCCTTGGCTTTTACCCCGACTAGCTTTTGTCCCTTATTTTCAATGAGCAAATCACTGTTTGAATCATGTACATCACTTTCGACACCGACAGAGCCATTCTGCACTCTGAAACAACTTTCTTTGATGCTAGAATTGAGTGCTTCTTCAGTTATGCAAACGATCTCGGAACCTTGCTCCCTAGCGATTTCTCGGATACCAACGACTGATGTATGATTGTCTTGAAGGAACACAAAATGGCTTTCTTTAGTCCAGTTGAAATTCTCTGCCACCATTCTTAAGGCAGCCGTGGCCCCTGAAGTAAATACAACATGATGCTTTTCTAAAGTGGTGTTGAAGTGCCTGGCTACAATATTTCGTGCTTCTTCGATTAAATCTGTCGATCTTTGACTGCAACTGGATCCACTATGAGGATTTCCAAATAAATTGTTGTTCAAATCAGAAAGATGATTTTCTATTTGGCTCTTTGAATACAATGTTGCACCAATATTGTCTAGATAAACACCTAAAAGAAATGAAGTTGATATGTTAATATTGTAGAAATTATGACAAGTTGTCAAATATTACTCAATTCTACTTGATTTAAGCAAATACAAGATGTAATTTAGCAGTCTTCATCGAAACCAGCTGCACATTAGTGTTTTATAATGGATAAATCGTTTATAAAGCTGTATATATAACTTTAGCTGCCTTGCTTTTTACCTTAAAATACGCTCAATTACAACTAAGTATTTTGCTACCAAAGATTGTATAACTGTGATCATGTTGTCACAACGTGCACGCAAAAGTAACGACTATTTAGTTACTAGGGCAAAAAGCCCTTAAATCGCATTTCTTTTATCTTTAGAAATTCTATTGTGAATTTGTAACACAAGCCTAGCAGAGAAATCTAAAGCCTCTGCTATGTTTACAATAAAACTGATTCAATAAAAGAAACATTTAATCGAAGAAACTCTTCATGATATGAAACATACTCTATCTATTAACGGGCCTAAAAGTAAACGTTTCAAACTCAACGTATATTCGAGGATATTGGCCATGTGTCGTAAAAGAAGTTACTAATCCTTGGACATTCAAAAAAATTGATCAGTCGCCTCGGAACAAACACAAAGACACGCAAATAAAAGTTAACCTGGTGATTCCTGAAGTAAAATGAATCTACGTGTCTTATTTTTCGCAAAGGAGGATTTAACCGCTAATTATTTACAGTCCGAAAGAAAGAACAGTTCAATTTGATTTCATACCCAAAACAACTTTGTTACCATAACAATGTTTCTATCCAAATTCCACAAACAGTTTTGGATGTTGTTTGGCGGGGAATCTTTTAAAATCCTACTTAATTCGCTAAAAGATAACATGATACTAGACTAAGATAAGGGATAACTTTCAGCAACGAGGTCAGCAACAACTTTTTATGTATAACAACCAAAAGTTCCATGGCCTCCATCCTTTCTATTTTCTTGAGCTCTTAAGTTATGTTTGTTGCAGTAATCAAATTGTGTCACTAATTTTATTCTAATTCTATGATTCAGATTTTCTAATTCCACAGCTACAAAAATTCTTTGCAGCATGCAACATTCTATTTTATCAGTAAATTCTACATGACTTTAAAGATTCTCTGGATAGTCTTCAGTGAGTTTACTTCAAACCAAGAAACAAGACATGTACCGTTATTGTTTGTACAATGTGTGGTTTGTACAATACACTCTAATTGAAAATACACAAAAACACTAAATTCTGAAACAACGAAAACCATTTCGACAACCTGGGCTAATATGTGGCAAGATTATAGAACCTAATGGGGCTAGAGGACTGCAGCACATAACAATTTCCAGGGGTAACGCCCAAAATTTCTTCAGGGGGTACAGAAAATACCTATGCCAAAAAGAAGGGCATGACTCACTCCTTAACGGAGTGGGCATGAGATAAAAAATTTGCTACTTTTACTCATTTCTTTTTGAATATCCTGCTTTTCTAAATTGAATTTCAAAAATTAGTGCCACACTGTGAAAGTTCAACTGCCACAGAAAAGGTTGTAAGTTACAACTGTTGCAAAAAGGTTACAAATTATACTAAAGGGTGAGAGAACAATTTTCCCTTTTGCATGACAAAATTCTTAATGTGCCAATGGACAAAGTATTGGCGGAGGTGCAGCACCCCCATACCCTCTTTGGTGACAACCTCCAGCAATCTTTTAAAGGAAAATCTTGCAAAAGTTTCCTGGAAATTCCACCCATGCAGAGTGACACATAACAAAATTGTACAAATATACCCATGCTTTGCTTTTACATTTCCAGAGTAGCAACTCAATAGAGTACGGAACATGAAAGAGCATAAAAAGAAAAGATCCAGAGATCAAGGCTTTTTTGTAAAATGTATGAACTATAAATGGGGATAGGGAAAACACTCGAAAAATGTTTGGTTCGTGTTTCTATATAATGAGCAAATAATATTATAAACCTCTTCTTTTCAGAACAATTTAAACAAAATTTGACTCATTCATAAATTTATCATAATACAGTTAGGAGAAAAAGAATCTGAACGAAAGAGGTTATGAAAGATATTTACTTGTGAAGGAAAAGATCTATACTTGAGCTGAATTTTCTGATTTTGCTGTTTATTTTTATGTGCATAATTTCTACCAACTCTAAAAATTCTTTTGAAACCTAGCACCCTGGCTTCGATACTTGACGCAGCCCTATTGCAAGAATAAAAATAAACCTCATGTAGGGCTGGATAGGCTCACCACACTATGCCATTAACAACCCTCTTCATACAGAAATGATGTTTTTATATTGAAACAAATGTTGGTACTATACTTTCTGTAAGCCAACCATTCTAAAAATTTTTGCAGGCTATTTGTTTTAATTCAACTAAATGAAACAGCACTATCACATTATTTTCTTCTTCTTGCCAGGGTCATGCAGATGGAAGAAAAGTTTTTATCTTAAAATTCCAAGATGAAACAATTTGATAAGAAAATTCAATATGTCACCTACACTATGTTTACTTTCCAACTTTCTTCAAACAAAAGTCAATAATAACACATTGATGTAGGAAGTAATGTTATTGTTGTACATGAAATAAACAAGTAAAGTCTCGAAAACTCATGACAAACATATTCCAAGCATCTGTTCTTTAAAAACGGGGCAAAATTGTTAACATCGGTGTCAAAATATAATAGCTGACATAAAAAAACTTTTCCACGGAAACTGAGAACACTCACTTATATGCAAACACTTCACAAAAGTCAATGCTAAGATTTCTTCACTATCATAATATGATGTGTCAGGTCCTAAAATGTTGGCTTTACATCTTATTACAGTTTTTGGCAGGAAATACTTATCACCATAGAGATCCATCAGGAATAAATGAAAAATACAAAAACATAGTTTTTAATATTCTTTTGTTGAAACAGATGAATGAAGGCTAATCAAAGTTACATAATTTTCACAGCAAGTGACATGACCAGCTTCCATTCAACATAATATAAGGTCACCAAAAAGGGACAAAGGAACACAAATACCCACAGGCATGATATCACTGGGGGCTAGGGGTGGGGGGCTGAAGCTACTCAACATTTTAAGAGATAAAACATTTTTGACAATGTTTTTTATTATTTTTTTAAACAGAGTATGAAATAAAAACATACTGTTAATACTGTTAATATATGGCTTGTTTGTTTATCTAGTTAGGTCTATTTCTATTTAGGTACTAACTTATTTAAGTATATTCTATTATTTTTCTACTATTTGCATCAATTTGATAACTTTCTGCATCAATGCAATGTCTGCATTCTGGATGTGTAAACACGGCCTACTGAAAATACTTGAGACAAACAAAATGCACATGTCTGTTCACAAGTAAAATACTCTCAATCGATACAACAGCTTCTTGTTTTTCACAACGATGTGCACTCTGAGCCAAAGGTCACCCTTTCTTTCTTCCCCCTCTTTAAATAGAGTTTTAGCATGAACCCTCTCCTCCTAAATATTTTCGAAAATTCAATAATCAATGTTTTTCTGCCAATCAGCAAATTGTCCATTCTGAGCAGTATAGTCATTTGTTTGGGAGATGTATTTTCAGCCATTCTAGAAGGCTTAATTTCAAAAATTTTCTTCAACGTCGGCCCCAACCACGGTGGGACTTTCTCCGTCCATAAAGCTGTGGTACTTTAAAAAATATAATCTTTAACAAATACAATACCAGTAAGTCTACTGAATTCAGTTTCTCTTAATTCTTCCACTGTTCCATTATAGCCACCGAACTGCTCCAAGAACTTTATCTTCTCTGAAGTGCGTACTCTCTCCGCCATGTTGTATCTACCTCCCAAATCATGTTGATTACAAAATAGAAACACTCACAAAAGACCGCGAACAGTAGAAACTGGTCAGGGGGAGGAGCATAGAAATAGGGGACACTCGCTCCCCACTCGCTGACACTGTTTTTCATGAGAACCCACTAAATAAGAACACCGTAGCCCGATTTGCCAGGAACAATGAATATAGCGAAAGAACATTCCCAGCCTCAGAAGAAAAATAAGAAATAAACAATGTATTTTTAAAAATTTTCTCTCGCGTTGAAGATTTTACAAGCCAAGAAACCGTCCGTCTAAAACGTCATGCAAAACTGTTATTTGATGGTCTTGAAACCAATTTATTTTGTTTCAGAAAAATCAATTACTCGAAAGATAAGAACATCGAGGTCGGGCCGCAAAGTATTCAGTATTTGACCAAGCCATAATTAATGGTGTCTCTCAAAAAACCCCTTTGGACTGGCCTCCAGTTCCCTTACATTAAACGCCCATGCTACCTGAAAGCAATTCACGATACAAAACTGGTCAATTGCTCTCCAAAAAGAATTTATTACATTGAGTTGAATACCTGTAACCTGTCATTCATAGTTTATATAGTAGTGTATATGTGCTAATCGAAATGATAAGATATCAGTTTTTCTAATGTGGCAAGTTTTAAAGTGAAATGGAAAATTATTCTTTGGCTGGTGAGACAAGAGGGATAAAGATATTTTCTTCTCTGAGACATATACAAATACTCTCTGAGACATGCATTTTTTAACTGCCTGTCATAAACGAATGCAGTTGCTGTGGTTATTCGTTGAAACAAAGGAAGTTTGAGGGCTATCTGCTGACTGTTTGTGTGTCTGCAGGCATTCTTCTCACAAATAAGCTATGATTAAGTCTTTTCCTGTGTTAAATGTTTTGCTAAAATGCCTAGACAGTTGCCTGTTGACCAACCAAGTTATCGATTCCCTCACATACAAAGAAAACAAAGTCATGACGTAGCAGGGAGTTTGTGATTAGTAACTTAATATGTAGCAGAAAGGATGCAGTGTAGCGAAACAGATCTCTTTGTTAGATGTACCATACCCAATTATTTTGTAACTATTGCTAGTCACAACAAGCAACAATAAGCGAGCAAGAGCCGGGGGATTGTAAAAGATTGATTCAGCAATTTTTAAGAAGGGCAGACAAATTTAAAAGTCTGCACGACACTTGTAACAAATTGCTTAGCTTTACCAGCTTTGCATTTACAGTTTTACCTTCAACCAGCTCGTTTCTTGATGGTTTTTGCCTAAACGACTTGTTGTTTGTCATATACGAACTTTCGAGAGTATATGACTTGTGTTATAGCTTACTTTCAAAACTCCTCTTTCCTACAGTGCAGAGTGGTACCTTGGGATAACAGGATAAACATTTTCTCTCATGTTTACATTTTTTCTACATATATAAGATTTATTTGTCATATATTTCTTTATCAATCAACTAATTACACGGAAAATTTACTACAAAAATAGTGAACAATTAATTCAACATTTGAAATAACAACAATGTGGGATGGAGCATATGGTTGAGAAATACCCTTTAGAGTTCGAGGTTCTTATGTTCTGGCTCCGAAATTATTCAGCAGAAACAAGGAGTGTATCGCAACGAGAACGAGAAAAGATTGGGAAGACGATTGTTTAGTCGATAATAAGTCACATAGCGTCGCTGAAATTACCCTTATACATGCCTTTGAACATAAAATTGAGGAACCCTATTTAGCGCTCTTTTTAATCTGACACCCTGTAGCCAAGGTAAAATAGCCACGTGTTACCTCGTGTAAAATTACATCCTTACCTGTCTTAAAGTGAATAGTGTAGTCTTCAAGTTTGTTATATAATAACGCACACGTTAACCAAATCATTTCCAACCTATTCATATTTTCATTTTCAGGGAATGCCCATCGAAATATTTTTAATGTAAATGAATGCAGAAGAAAAATGTTTATATTTCTCCGTGTGCACCAGCGATGTCTCCAAGTGCGACCCCCGGAAAGAATTGATACAGTGAACAAAATCGCGCTCGCTTTGAATTCAATACATAAATTCCACATTCAGCCGAAATTTATCTACTGAAAAGGCTACGAATGTGTAACACAATACCGGGACGTCCAAAGCTAACGGAAAATTTCGGCTTCATTCAGAGTCCTCTTATACAGCTGTTAATACATGCAATAATAATATTTGCTGTTAAAAGAAGTGAATCCGTATTTGCAGCTTCCACCAGATTGGTATCCCATCTTCAACTAAGATACGCTCAGAATTGACTACATTCGAACGCTGTTAGGAAAAGAATCTCTGACTTTGGGTAGGTAGGAAGCGTTGATCGTTCGTTTACGGAGAAGCCACGCTTCAAATATTGACAGTATGAATTGGTACTTTGTATGACTCCGAAAACGATTTAATTGTTCCTATGAGCGCTGAGGCAATCAGAGGAGACTTGGAAGACTCAATTTTCTATCTTTTCCGATGATTCTGATTTTAAATTGAATTGAAAACATACATTCAGGAGCTGAATGGACGTTAATTCAGTTCCAATTGCTTGTGGCTTGATACAGTTGAAGGATTTGTGGTGAATCATGTGGACAAGAAGGAAATCAGTGTCTCAAAAGTGACCTAGATAATATTTCAATTCACTTTCAAACTTCATTTACTGCGTTCGTTCTTCGCAAGTAACCTGACTGCAAGTATTTAAGCCTTAAAAACAAGGAAATAAGCTAAGGCTCCGAGTGGATACTTTCATAAGACAACGAACAGATTTGAAGTTTACAGCTTTTACGAAATATACTTAATGGAGATAAATACTGATACATAACCAACAGTATTGGTTACTGCTGGTATCTATTATATAATATTGGATATTCAATCGCTTCTCTTCGGCTGAGAAATAATTCAAACGTGAAAAGCGGAAGCTAACAAGAATTTGGCTTGTATTCCTGTATTCTTTGTTGACTATTTTAGAAGTGATATCGAAAACCGGTGAATTTTGAAAGAATGATGAATAATTCTACAGCGTTGCCAATGAACATTTCCTCGACTTCTGGGTACAGCGCCACTCCAGACACGCTGTTCACAAACACAGAATACACTCTACAAGCCATGTTGCTGCTCCTAATCATCCTTATTATTGTGATAGGCAATATTGTGACACTCTGCATAATTTACCGTGACAGAAATATGCGCACTCCACAGTTTCTCCTTATCACAAGTTTAGCGTGCAGTGACCTTGGTGTTGGCATAGCCACAGCGCCACTGACGATGGTAACTGCATTTAATAAAGGTGATTGGGTTCTAGGCAACATGGCTTGCCAATACCAAGCAATAGCCAACTCAACATTCTACATCGCAACTATGCTCACACTGATGGCAATGACTATGGAAAAGTACTTCTCGATCGTCAGACCATTGTCGCGTTTTATAACACCCAAGAGGACGCGTAGATTTATCGTTGGAGCCTGGGTCTCGACACTCATATATCAATGCTACCACTTGTCGGCTTTGGTCGATACGACAAGAACAAAACAACACAGTCGTGTGGCATTGCTTTCCCTAAAATGACCTCCGAAAGACTGTTCCTTATTCTAATCCTCTTTTCGGGTTCTGTGATGCCCCTGTTTGTCATGATTGTCGCAAACACCGTAATTTTTGTGGCTGTCCGGAGACACTCCAAGAGGCTGCGAAGGCATGCCCGCGGCCAGGCAGCGAAAGAAGGCATTTTAGCTTCACAAAAACACTTTACGATCACAATCGTAATAATTTTAGTTGTGTTCATCAGCTCTTGGACACCATTCTTTTCGCTTGCTATAACAGCAGAACTGACAGATTCTGCGGATAAGATTCCCCCGTTTCTAGGGGTGTTAGCTTACTGGTGTGGCTATGCAGCTTCGGCATGGAACCCTGTTATCTACATAACAAGAAACCGGCGGTTTCGTCGTGGTGCAATAGGTATTAAGAATGTACTAACTTGCAGACAATCAGATAATGCTGCAGTCAACGTGAGCGGAGGTGCGTGGAACAGTGACATTGACAGGAAACGATCTAGCTACGCAGTATCCTGACTTTGTTACAGCCTCCTTCTTTAAATTGCTCTTAAATGCTTATTCTTTGCCCTGCTTCCATTGCCCTTGCGTAAAGGTAATGCCCCACAAGGAAGGTTTTAATCATGACTTTGATGCAAATTGGAATCGATGAGAACTAGCCTATCAAATCCAGTTCTGTTGTTCATTCGTGCAACAAAAATTATGTAAAACCTACATGCAACTGTGAAATTGTGAAGAATTTACTCAATCCATTGCTAGAAAATTTATTCACAAACAAAGCAACACTTTCCCGTAAACAAAAAGATTTCCAAGATTGAATAATCTGTTGACATGATTTATCTAATGCCATCCCATTTTGAAATAGTAAAAACATGTTGACTGCTATGATAATTATGAATGCAGTTTGAATGAGTTTGATTTATGTTCCTCAGAAATGCAATAGTGACTGGAAATAGGGCAGATTGTTTCGCTCGATCAAGTATCAACCTAAGAACAACTCTTGGGCTCAAAAAAGTATGCCTAGTAGATCCTTTACTGCCATAATGAGTATTTTGGCCTTGCTGCCACAATGATTTTTTTTTCACTATTTATGTAAGTTCGGCTTTGGTCATCTTTGTTCGTGGCGCTCTTTCTACAGATTGTCAAAATAACTTGATTCTGTGCTTGTAGTATTGATTAAACAAAACGCTTAATTTATGTCTAATCAATCCACTAAAGCCCGAGTTTAATCCTTGATAGTAGAGAACTTAAGGGTGACTTTTAACTTGTGGTCTGTAATGTACACACACTTCCAATAAGCCGAGACATGACTGCGCTGTAGCCGCTATGGGGACTATGATCCCCCTATACCAAAGAGAGTACTGTGTATACTTTCACTTAATACTTTTGTCCTTCAGTAAAATTTGGTTCGATTCAGTAAAAAGCATTATTGCTAGTCATTCGTAATAGATGCAAAAAACATTACTTTATTTATTTTTATATCTTCTTTATCTTAAAGTTAAAAACTGAATTCCAAAAATTGGGCATCTCCATCATTTTCCAGGCACCTGAAGGGCATGGCACCGTAACCAAATCTTTATTTAATACATAACCCCATCCCCCTCCACCCCCCAACCCAGAAAAATTAGTCCCTCAAAAGAAACCATTCATCGAGCAGCAGAGGGAGCTGAATTGCAGAAAAATTTTGCCGAAGAATTTGTCCCTAGACCCCCATATTCAGACAATCCTCTAATATTAACCAGAAACAATCTAAATCGTAAAAACAACTTCTTCTAAGAGCTGCCTCATGGTGTAAGAAAATTGCTCTGTTAATAAAATTGTTAAATAGAAACGCTCTCTTTCTTTATGACATCAATTGTATATCAATTGAAAAGACTTTGATCACGTCAAATGTTTCTAGATTCTTTAGATCATGAAGTTAATAACATCGATTGATGTAAATATTTTTTATGTAGAAAAGTAACTCAAATAAACCATTTCCCTTCCCAATAATTCAAAAACCTAGGAAGTTCTTTGAATTATATTCTAGATATATTGATGTGCCTGCCACATCAATATAGGAGGAACCCCTCATCAGTGGTTTACATCATACCCAACTGATAGGATACACTACTGCCAGATCAATGGTTCCAGTTCACAACAATAGAAGGTTCAGTGTGGTAATCCTCAGGGTTCGTGCCTTGGGCCCCTCCTTTTCATGCTATACGTAAATGATTTTGAGTGATGCTTAGAAAAATGCTCAACAAATATGTATGCAGACGACACTAGCATAACATGCTCTGCAAAAGATATTGAGGAACTGTGCAATGATTTAAAAACTGAGGGTAAGAACATTGCAGAGTGGATGAGGCAAAATAAGCTTAGTCTGAACACCAATAAAACGGAATATATGGTCATTGGTCATAAAAGACGAATTAAACATATCCAGGGGGAGATGAACGTGGAAATAAATGGAGAAAAACTCCAACGAGCCCATGAAGTAAAATATCTCGGAGTCACTATTAATGAAAACCTATCTTGGAACAAGCAGTACAAGAGGCTTAAGTGTAAACTTAAAATGTGGTCTTTCTTCGTTGAGGAAACTTAAAAACATACTCCCACAGTCGAAATTGGACCAGGTTTACAGGGCACTTTTCGAAAGCCATCTAAGATACGGTGATCAATTATGGGAAGTCTGTCCGCTACAAAGCTTGAGCATCTTCAGCGTCTTCAAGACAGGGCTCAAACATTAATTGAAAGTGCTAAATTTGAGGACGGGTGGAATTGTAAATGGCTTTCAGTTTCGAACCTAATTATATATGACAGGGCCATAATAACGTACAAAATGATGAATGGTCTTCGCCCTGACAGCCTTAAAGGTAAATTTATCACTAGATCGGAGATATCCAGGTATTCGACAAGGAATCAGCTTGATATTGCCATCCCAGGCAAAATTTGGAATTTTCAAAGGTAAATTTCTTTCACTCTGTGGCGAAAACATGGAATGAGATTCCAAGAAACATCAGAATGAGCCCCACAATTTCCATGTTTAAAAGAAACTTGAAGGGATTCCTACAAAGTTAATAAATTCCCAAAACAAAACACAATCCCTAGGTAGAACAACAACATCTTTATTTTATATCTATTAAAGAAGTAATTGCAATAGAAGTAGTTTATTTATATTTGGTTTATAGCTGATAGGGAATTCGTGTATAAAGATTTTAAAATAAAAAATGAATGAATGAAAAGCCAATTTTTTTATCACTTCTTAACAGAAAGTTCAAGATAACGTCGCATCTTCTGCTTTTATCTTTGCAAAAGCATCACAGTTACCTTAAAGTTGCCATATATAGGTACAATAACGTGGTCACGGGGAGGGGGACTGAGGGGCGGCAGGATCAATTTTGTATTTCGTCTATATTCAACAAGAAAATGTCGGGGAAGGGGCAATATTTTGCCAACGTACTTTTTGTGACGTAATCCTATGATTTTGAAACTTCCTTTACGTAAACAAAAGTTGGTCATGGGCATTCCCATTAGCAAAATTGGCGTCCCTGTTGGTACAAGGGCGTTAAAAGGGTGTGGTCAAAAATTTCTGTTTTTTCTAGTGGCTTGCGTCGCCGATGTTCGGGTTTATAATGTATATGATAGCTAGTCCTTCTCAACCCTTTAAGAACCGGGAAAAGAGACTTCATTGCCAGTAACCGGAATAACGTGACATCTCAAAATCTAAAAGCCAAAAAAATGGGCTTATAGAAAAGAGGTTACCATGAACTTTGTGGCAAATAAGCCCTGTAGTGTAATTAAAGGCATTTGACGTGCGTAAGTACAGCGAATCCAAAAATAACGCGATCAGAGTACGTGCGTTTGAAAGGAATTTGAAACTACTCACGTAAAACCACTCTAGGGTTTCGCCGATTTGCAGAAAGGCGGAAACTGTTCACGTGCTCAATTTGATTGGTCAACCACTACTGGTCAAGTGGCTGTAAGCCATTTCTACCTGTGTCGAATGCATTCAAGATCCCATTTACACGGGATCGATCCAGGCCGGGATCGTTCCCAAACTGGTACGAATAAATCTTCCGTTTACACAGGAACGCTCGGGATCGATCTGCTATCCGTACCAATTTGGGTCTGCTTTAGAGAGCGTTCCAGTTTGGATCGTTCCCAAATCGCCACGCATAGGAAACGAGGCTAATGAATTCTCCAGCTTGAGGTGCTTTGGGCACGATGCATCGATATTTGGTCAGATCTTGCGCGCCCTCTTCGCCCACAAGATGGAATATACAAAACAAGATGAAAAAAGCTTTCTATTTTTTTACGAGTTAATTAATAAATTCTAGCAAACAGACTCCAACCTATTATGTTTTTACTTCAGCATGATATTCAGGAGCAGGGCCCTTTTTATTCATCGCTCCAAAGAAACATTTTGTTGCTACCTTTCAAATTTGAAGCCATTTTCCTCTAAGCCTTCCTATAAATTTGGTGGTATTTTCTCTGTGTTGTTGATGACATAAAGAATAGCATGAGCATTCCTTTCAAAAGGGCCTAGAAAGCCGTGGGGTCCGATCTGGGATCGATCCCATGTAAACACAATATCTTTTGGGACCGATCCCGTGTAAACGTCCGCGAAATTTTGGGATCGATCCAAAACGGGATCGGTCCCATTATTCTTTATGCACGTTAATCCTGACCATAAAAACGACAGCACACTCAACAGAAGCAAAATTTGGGAATTAACGAAATGTTTCAAATGTTTTTAAAAACGTTAGTCAAATTTCCAATAGATGAGTATATCAAATGTTCAATGTTTCCGTTTCCTTGAAGCTTCGTTTGGTCTTTGTTGCTAGTGAACTGCAAAATCTTGCCTTTGTGACTGCGAGGTTTTCGTGGGGTGACCAGGAACCATGATGTTTGGGATGCGATGCGATGTGATATGATGCTTTTTTGCGATGCGATGCGATGCGATGTGATGCAAGGTTTTGTTCGTAGGGTGACCAGGAACTTTTGGATGTTTGCAAGGCGGGTGATGGAACAGTGTGTGTTGATTCCTGCGGTGCTCCCTTGAGTGTGCTGCAACATTTTCTGGGCACGGAATGTTGCCGACCTAGCGTGATGGACGCTTTTGAAGGGATACGCTGCCGAACATGTCTGATGGCAATGCAAGGCGATGCGTGATTCTGCTCTGTGCAAGTCAGCGAAGCGGGGTTGGTTGGTGAATATGGTTTGAACAGTGCACGACGAACGAGTTGAAACGAGTAGACAGACATCAAAAATCCAGGGTGCGTCGGAACAGTCAACAGGAAGTTGTTTGGGAGCCAGTGTAGGCGTTGAACGTGTGCGCGATGGCAGTTGTTGTGTGATGAAACCAGGAACTTGCGAGTGGTTGACGAAGAGACGATTGACATAAAACGAATAAAAACGACAGTGGAGAACAAGCCAATCGGCCACGTCGTGATCAGGTCACCATTTATAGGAACGCTAGTTGATGTTACGTCAACTCCTACAATTTGCTTCTGTTAAGTGTGCTGTCGTTTTTTTGGTCTTGTTTAACGTGCAGAAAATACGGAGCCAGCAAGAGGCGATGCTACGTGGCCGTTGTGCCTTGATGAATTTACTGACTAAATCATACTACAGGGCGTATACACACAAAATGAGGGGACGCTACAAAAATGTTGTTGATTACATTACTGTGGGTACAGAGATAATGGAAGAAATATTACGGTTGGAAAATGGTCACTGCAACGTTTGAGCAGTCGGTAGGGGCGTAGCCAGCGGAGGGCTTAGACGTTGTGACACCCCCACCCCCAAAACGTCGTGAGTTGGTCGGTGAGTCGACGATTGGTCCTCAAAATTTTTTTCAATAATTTTTTAATCACGTTATCTATATAAAAATCCTAATTACAAATAAAAGTTGATTAATACAGTTGATAATTAAAAGAAACAGATATGAAAACCAGTACTGTTCTTCTATGGATTCGTGCAGAAATATTTTCTTCAGCTTAGGAACTGACTTTTTAGCTCAATCTTGAACAGGGTTATTGTAATGGACTCTCTTGTGTGTTTTAGGGTACAATTCCAGGTTTTTAGACCAGTGTAATCAAGAATTTTTCTACTGAAGTCTGAATTTAGCCTTGGGATTTGGAGATCAGTCTTTTTCTTGTACCGTACTTGTTTGTCATAATGAATGTGATTAGTGAAGGAGTTCGGAGTTAAGCCCCGTGGACCATGCTGTTTGCTGATGATATTGTGAGAGTTTGCGAAACTATAGCGGACATTCGAAAGCGACTATCAAGATGGAAGAGAGATTTAGAATTGAAACGTTTTAAGATAGTAGAACGAAGATGGAATATTTTCATTTTAACGACTTTGAAAATCTTGATGACATGAGAATGGATGAGGAAATTATCAAGAAGATTCCAGCATTCAAGTATTTGGGGACGCATGTGACTGAAGATGGGGAGCTCGATGTGGAGTTAGACCATCGGATCCAATGCGGATGGAACTTCTGGAGGAAGCTGCCAGGTGTGCTGTGCGACAAGAAGATGACTGTCAGGCTGAAAGGTAAGGTTGTACAAAACAGCTGTGCGCCCAGCAATGCTATACAGCAGTGAAACCTGGTCAGTGGAGAAGGCACAGGAGAAGAAGATGAATGTTGCAGAGATGAGGATGTTACCCTGGATGTGTGGAGCCACGAGAAGAGATAAAATCAGAAATGAGATGATACGAAGCACAACAAAAGTAGCCGAAATAAGCTCGAAGATGCAAGATAGGGAGCCCTGAATTGGTAGGGTCATGCGATGAGAAGAGAGAAGGACTATGTTGGAAGGAGAGTGATGGCAATGGAAATTCCAGGACACAGAAAAGAGGACGACCTAAGTTTAGATGGAAAGACAGACTAAAGGAAGATATCCTGGAAAACAACCTCGATGAAGAAGAAATAGAAGAAGGAGAAGAAGACGAAGAAGAAGAAGTAGAAAAAGAAGAAGAAGAAGACTTGCTTATCGTGGATCTTTCAGCAAATTTATCGTGCAGACTCTCAGGACATATCCTGTTAATTATTTCAAACATCTGAACCGACCGGTCAAATGGAAACATCTGATCGATGCTAAATGTTGGTCGAATCAGAAAGTCTTTTATTTTAGATGCTTCAATAATGTCAAATGCACGATTTTGCAGTCTCTGAAAGGCTGATATTTTAGCGTTCGATAAGCTCCCCCAGACCACGTCAGCATAACGAATATGACTCTCAAAAAGCCCTTTCTATACTTCAAATAGCATTGATTGTGGGAGGATACCCTTAAGCTTCTTCATTTATGCTAGGCCCCCAGCAACCTTTTTCTTAATTGATTCATACTGTTCTTCCCATCCCAAGGTATCGTCAAACAGTACCGGCTTCTGTTAACTAAATCGGATTGAAACCAATAGTTCTCATTACCTTTAATTCCATATGTTTCTAGTTTACTGATCAGTATCTCATGATCAAATGCTTTTCAAGTCAAGAAAAGCAGCAAAATTAGCTTTTTGTTGTCGATATTTGAGTACCAATTATCTGAGATACGAATCGGTGAGGTAATTGTAGAAGAAAGCCTATGGTGAGCGAACTGATCCGGCGTTAGTTTTTTGCTAGATTGGAGGAAATCGAAAAGTTGGTCATGTGCAATTTTTTCGTATCACTTAGATAGCACTGACAAAATTGAAATTGGCCTATAGTTGTTCGTATCATCTTTGGTACCTGATTTGTAAATTGGTGTGATTCTTGCTATTTTCGGTAACGGTATGGGAAAGCCCCCAGCCTGGAAGAGGTGTTAAAGATCATCGTTAGTGGTTTACAAATACAATCAGCAGCGTCTTTCAAAATTGCCATTAGTATATTGTCAGGACCAGCAGATTTTTCTTGGTTCAGATTTTGGATATATTCCAGAACTGCTCTTTCATTTACATACTTGAACTAGAAGACTTTTCCTTCTGTACGGTTATTAAGATGACAAAAGGAATCATCGCCAGGTTTAAGTTCAATTCTACTAGCAAGTCTCGGCCCGACATTAACAAAGTGGCTATTTAGGGCATTATAAATTTGTTTTGAATGATTGTTGTTGACTTGGGGGCCTTATATAGCACCTTATCTATGGTTATCTACATGCTTTTTGGATTATCCTCGTTTTTATTGATCAAAGATTGATAGTGTGGTCTTATAGATGATCTAATAGTGTTTGTCACCTTGTTTCGCAGAGATTTACAAAAGATTTGAGAAATTTGGGGTTCTTTATGGAGTTTTTCTTGGCCCATGATGAAAGTTAATTTCTAATCTTTTTCTCCGTATTGGTGCATGTGCATTTAGTAACCCATCAAAAGCTCGTTGAATTTTTCAACCATTAAATTTGGTGATTCAGAAAACGGGGATAGCACTAGCTCCCAATTCACTTCTTTTACGTCGTTTAAGAATTTTGCTTTATCGTAATTTCTTAAACTTCGTGTTTCAATGATTTTTCATTTGATTTCAATGATTTCAAAAACCCTTTGTTTGTCAGTAAAATCGTCTATCGGTAGGTGAAATAGTATCTAAATGTGTCTTCATCTGTCTTCCTCGGTAAATTTGACTATTGATGACCCTTTGTTAGTCTGGAAGCTACCACACTGAAGATGAGATGGAAACGAAGGTGACTTATCAAGTCTGGTAAAAAAAAATTTTATGGGCAGTTCGGGTTATGAGTTCAATTCGGTCTAAAAGTTCACCGACTTTGAATTGATGCCTTTTATAAACGTTGAATGCAGTATCATTCAAGTCAGTCTGTACCCAACAAGACCTTCATAAGACTGAAAGTGCAGCTTTTCAGAAAAATTAACAACTGATCATAGATCAATTTTTTGTCATATCTGTTCATACATCAGTTTTACTTGAAATATTCTGTTTCTTGTCAACCACTTCACATAATTCTCTATAATTCCCATCATTGCAAACACAAGTTGGTGGCTCACCATTTATGCATCTTCCGCCATTACTGCAAGTGAATTCTTTGCAATGGTCGACGTCATTGCCTAAAAAAGGTCAAGTTTTAAAAATTAAAATTGATCACACAAATTCGTAAGTGCATAGCATAGCACATTAATGAAATGGGACAGGTTACGTAACAAATGTCTAAAAGTAAACCATTTAGTGCCTGTTTACTTGGAGGCGAGTTTCCTGGCTAGCCGACTTTCCTGGCTAGCCGACTTTCCTGGCTAGCCAATTTTCCCGGCATGTATAGGAAATCAACAGTTTCTCGCTTCAGCATTTACACGGACAGCCGGGAAAATCGGCCAGCCGGGATCGCGGCAGACAGGGGTGGAATCTCGCTCAGCCCATGTGCAGTCTGGTGGCATGAAAGTATCAGATGTTTACATGCGATTTCTATGTATTTTGCAGCTTATAAACTTGGGAAGTTGGAAAAAATGACGTGCTGCGCTATCAGGAGCCATAAATTCGTTCACATCCATTTCCGTTGTAGAATGCGAACGAATGCGCATAGTTAAAAATTGAATCCCACCGTCCAGCCTGCTTTGTGTTCACATAGGAAAATTTCATTCCAAGAGATGACAGCCGGCAAGCTGAGAGCATGATCTCATTTGCCCCGGATAGAAAGTTTTTCATTTTGTTCATTTTAACAGAACCTTCAATGTGTTGAAGATCCGGAATTAAAAACCCACCAATATTCATTCCAAATTGCCCGGGGGTGGGGGTACTCCCTTTTTTTCTACACGGGAGGGGCCCATGTCAATATTTGGGGTCTGAGGTTTTAGAAAAAAATATGTTAGGGGCCTGTGAATTACAGGTCAAGAGAAATTCAATAAATAGAGTATTAAGAAAATTGAAATGGGACTGAAAATGTTGTGATGTTCAAGAAAATTTTACAAAGGTAGTCCAAAATATGTAACAATATTCATGGTCTCAAATTTTAAGACTCGATATTTAGGGTTCTTCAAAACTGTAACTCAGTATTTGGGGGTCATTAAAAAATTGCTGACATGGAACCCCGTACAGAAAAGTAGTGAGTACCCTCTTGGGTCAAACTGATTCGTCAAGCTCATCTATAACCCAAACAGGGCTACTAAGAAGCTTTACCCGACTCTACAAAATGCTTAACACCAAGGAAGAGTAACCGCACCTTCCCATGTGCCGTAAAGTGAATACTGGATAACAGTTAACTATAAACACAAAAGAAAAGGGCTATCGTAGTTTGTAATGTGATGAAATAATTATCCCATAACATCTGCAATGAATACAGAAGCTGAAGCTAGTTCAAACAAACTGAAACATGACCAAACGGTATTGCCCATAGACATTGGCATTGCCCATAGACAAGGTGCAAATCAGACTGGTTTCTATCAATACGGAACCAAGTTGGAACAATTCTCAAAATTAATTGATACTGCCCAGGAAATTCAATCTTGAAACGGAATCTTCATGAAAAGCCGTAACTGTCTGGGCTCATACCAGCTTGGGAAGCAAAAAAATAACGGTCATGTATAACCCAGGCTCAGTGCAACTGCAAAACTTTTCTTTATTACTTCACGTAAAGATCAAATTGAACTTCCTGACTCCAGTTTGAAAATTTATGTTTCTGTTCATCTAAGAAAGCCTACAGAACTCACGTACAGTGTACTCCGCTTTCATGATTGTCCACTTGGTTGCATTTTAGACATTCAAAGCCTGGGCAGCTACATTTATCTACACATATTTCATCGTTTTGGCAGGGATTCTGAGCTTTACAGTTTTGTCCAATCTAAAACCAGATAGTATGATTTAATGATCAATGACAATGCATACATCTAGCAACCGTACTTTAGATAAAGGCTCAGCTAAATTTTCTGTTATGTTCTTACGACCTAAGAATTATTTTGTGCATTGCCTGCGATACAAAAGAGTATAGGGAGAACAAAGAGAATAGGATTTATTTTCCCAAATTCTATCTACAATGCGAAAAAGAGATCTAAAGTTTCAAATGTTGAACATGTCAAGGCAATTACCAGAACAAAAGGCTAAAAATTCAAATTCTAAATCTATATATATATAGTAACTGAAACATATATGGTTGAAATAATGACTCACTGCACGACTGGAAAAATTTGTGGTATAATGTTTCCACGTTGGCATATTGGCAAATGTAATTCCAGTATCTCTGAAGTTGTAAAATGACTGAGACAAGATTTCACACGTCTCGTCTAAGGTACTGTAGTTGATAGCCTTACATTTCCAATGAAAGAGACATCGCTGTTGACATGTTCTTAAGTCAATGCTCTTGTATGATATGTATGGATCAACTGTGAGCTTTTTCCCAGTTATAGCGATGCTAAAGTCAGCAAATATTTTACACTGCAACCGCAAGATGTGCGAGTCAACTGATAACACTGATGCCAGCAGAATGATAACGCAACAGATACTCCTGTTTTAATAAGAGCGAAATGCCTTTGACCAATAATCAATTAAACAAAGATTTATATGATGTATAAAATAATTGACAATTCGTACTGACTGCAATTGTTTTAGCATTATCTGTATTGTATTATTTTGGTTGCAATACACCATTTGAAGCATAATTTGACACAATTCTAACAAGCGCTCGAGTCATCAGATACCTTCTTGGTGTTTTGGACATGAGCCTCCGTGAATGCATATATCGTTGGGAATGTTTCTAGCTTCTAGATACTGTCGGGATAAGAACTAACTAAAAGCATTTTCTGTCCTGCAAGCCCGGCAGAGTCTGGGAATATCATTTCCATTTGGATATGAATCTTGTTTAATGAAATTGTGTTCCTCGTTGGCATTCTCAACGCAGAATCATTCTCAGACAAATTACGAAATCGACAATTCAAAAATTGACGGAAAAGAAGATAAACTACATCCTGTATGTTCTTCTTAGCAGCTAAAATTTGATGCTGAAAGCATCTTAGGATATCCTCGTGGGAAAGAAGATAAACTTTATCTTGTATGTTCTTGTTCACGTCTAAAAGATGACGATGAGAACGTTTAAATGAATGCTTGCGGAAAAGAAGATAAACTACATCTTATAGGTCGTTCCAGACGGCTAAAATTGATGAAGCAAACATCTTACGATATCCTAATGAAAAGAAGATAATTGATGGTAAAAGTGGATTTGAAAGAAAAGCTTTCCTGAATACTTTTCAATAATTGTCTTTGATAAATTAATTGACTGCGATTCACTACAGAACTGACAAAACATTAAAAAATGTACGCAAAACTTACATCGTTTAAGAAAACAGCGCCCAGAAGTTAACGGTTTAGGGTCTTTCCCAAAATTTATCGCCTTCCCTCTGCCAGCTGTTCATCAATAAAGTCTGAATTTACATCAATAAACGAGAAAATTAAAATACGGTGTTTATTTTAGAAACATAAATATTGTGACTTTCAATTTTCCATGTAAACCAGTCATAAAAACTAGGATTAATAAAAAGGCACTCTTTAATCTAGAACATGGCAGGTACCTAAATAATCTTTAATAACGTACATAGATATACATTTGAATTTCAACATAGACATAAAACCTTATAGTCTAAAATAGAAACAAAAATTAATCGAAAATAGAAGAAACATCATAAAGATTCTTAATTTTTGCACGCTCTCTTTTTGAAGCATAAGACGTGCAGTGATTTGAATGAGAAAAACTCTGTTTTTGATTAGTCACTTGAATATTAATAATCTAAATTCTCCTTTTGCGTGATGTTTTATTGGACTGCCGTTTTATTATTTTTAAAGATATAGGATTTTAAACTTGCGAACGAGCTAAATTTCCTTTCAATGCACAATGCATTTTTGATAATCAAAATGAGTCATTTGGATGCTGATACCTTTCGAAATTTGTTTGATTGTAACTTCAAGTTTTCTTTGAAGTTTTGTCTAATTACCAGTAATGTTTTCTCTAATTTTGAATATGTCATCATTCTAAAAAATTATGGATCACTAGTGCCGTCGGAACGAAATTCAAATTGTGAGAGGTGCTTCTATTTACATTATTGAGATGGTAGAGCAAGGAAAAACTCTCTTTACATTTTCATATCCTGATAATCATTCAAGATTTATAACTTAACTGAACGAGGTTACGAAGATATCTCAACTACGCTTACGTGATTATAAAAGGTCATGTGATCTGGGGAGCGTCCTACTTCAATATTGGGGTGGGGCTGCCCATTGTATTCTTTCTCATTCAGTATACTGTTATAAAGGAAATATACTACAGTTGACAATTATTGTGGGGGGCTCCAGCCCCCCCAGATTCCCCAATCCTCCCGGTTCCAACGGGCCTGATCACATAACAACAATCACTGCGCAATCAAGACCGTTACTAAGAAAAAGAAAACTATGTCAAGCATGAACTAAAAAGTTAGCCTCGCAACAAAAAGAATCCGAGATGCAGAACAAAACCTCTGTAAAAATAGCCAATTGTGGACTGAAAGTTAACGATTTCAACTGCTAATTCAGAACATATCATCTTATACGTACTATAGTACACCTTACCTAATGGGTGATTTGAAAATGTGTTTTGAACGGAATCAAACAAAAATGAACTAAAACATGTTTTAACTATCATCCCTAACGTCTGCAGAAGCCATTTTTCTCCAATAACAAAAATTGGCTTCTCGAAACAAATTTTAAATCGCTTAAATTAGCAGTTATGAAAATCACTATAAGGGTTTAAATGATATGGCTTTGAATGTGGCTGAAAGCAAACATTATAAAGTTGAATATGGCTTTGAAAAAAGCAGACATTTTACAACATACTGGCACGAAAATTCATAAACAGCGGAACTCTTTTGGTTGGTAGGAACGCAATCCTTTTGAATGGATGGATGGAAGGGCTCTCCTAGTGGTAGTTTAAGATTAACTGGCCACTTTTGTGGACCAAATTTTTGGAAAGCCGAAAAACTTGAGATATTTTCCTTAGTGTAAGAAGAAATGACACTTTCTGGATAGCTGTTACTCAGAAAGATCGTTTTCTATCCTTCCAAGATATTCCAAGAATTCTTCGGAAACATTTCAAGTCCATGTTTCACATCCGTATAGTGCTGTTGAGGTAACGGTCCCACGTAGAAGTTTTACTATGATTTCGATTGGTAGTTTTCTTTCTTTCCAGATTTTATCCAATCTAGATAAAGCACTTGTTGCACTTCTAATTCTTGACACTATCTCTAATTTAGATGTTCCTTCTTCAGCTATTGTCGAACCAAGGTATTTGAAGCTATAACCTTTTCTAGATCTTCGCCATTTACTTGGATAGGTGCATTCAATTTCATTGGTGTTGGTCCTGCTATCAGCATTTTGCTTTTCGATGCACTAATTTTCATACCATATATGTTGGCACTTGGCAGAACTATTGATCCTCTCCGTCAGCTCTCTTAGTTCTTTTTCAGAGCAAGCAATGATGTCAATGTTATCTGCAAACCTTAAATTGGGTGTCGCAGTCCACCACATTTGACTTCGCTTATATGTATGTACTGGCCAGAAAAAGTTGGCTTGCGATATACGCTGGTGAGAAATCCACAACTGGATATATATTTTCCTTCGGAACCTTCGGAATCTTGTTCCTTCGGATCTTTTTCTGAAGTTTTGTACTCTGAGGAGTGTCAGATAAATAAGCTTTAGCATCTTATAAAATGTTTGATTTTTTCAAAGCATTTTCAAATTTTGTACCGCCAAAAAACCAAACGGAAACTTGAAAGGATGCAATTATTATTGCCGTGTTTGTAGTGGAAAGATTAATACTACTTTTTTTAAGAACATGTTTTCTCTTTGGGAAAGAGGAACTGAGGAGAGAAGCCCCCTTTTATTTGGGAGGGGGCAAGACGGACAAGAAAAGTATTCAAATGACTGCGCTACCCCATTCCGTGGATGATTCTTTAGATAATAGACCTTCAATTGATCGTCTTCCCAAGAATTTTACGATGTTGTTGTTAACCAGGCCTTTGAATCCAAAAATTTTGTTTTCATAAGAAGAGAAATTTCAGAAAATTCTTTCAGGCCTACGATGCCATATTGCATTGCTTCTATACTAAAAAGGAATGCTGCGCACAAGAAACGCACGGCAATCCTCTTTTGAAAAAACAGCTCTCAAAACAGGCCAATTCAACTTATGTATTTCAACCTTTCAACTATCAAACAATGTTGACAATATTTCTAAGAAAAACAAAAAATGAAAAAATCTGCTTTTCATTCCAAAAAATGAACATCTTTGTGTAACCATTAATTGTTTTAATATAACTTCCATAAATACCCTTATCTACTCCTTCTTGAATCAGCTGACTTGGCTATTGTAAAATAAATAACGTTTTTCAAATCTAGTATTTACTTGCTCTCTTAATTTCTAAGGTTATCCAACTAAAAATATACAGAAACAGTTTGAAGCACTGTATAATACATTATATGCCATTTCACACTAGGAAAGCACGAGGTTGTTTATTTGATAAGTCCTGTAACTTGCAATTAGCTCATCTTAATGGCTTTCGCGCAACCGGCATGCTTTGCGACTGTGATTTGAAGAACAGGCCTAATATCGTTCTGCATGAAAATACAAAACATAGTCAATTTCTCAAGACAACTGCCGCTAAGCATGCCGGCTGCGCAAGAGCCTTTAATGAGCTAATACGAATTTCACCTTTTTAACTGACATAACGAATGCTCAGGTGCTTTTAATTCTTTCCGCGTTTTGTTGAATTCACTCACTTGTTTTGCACCTTGTAAAGAAAACACTTAAGACTGCCTTAAGCAAGAAAAGGAAACGTTGATGTTATTCCTATAGTTACATAGAAATCTAATCAAAAGCTTTATTACTTTTTATTATTATTTCAGGTGCCACATCTCATAACACTTGCTAATCTTCTCTAAACGAACATCGAAATGCAGTTTCTTAAAACCAGATTAAATAGCGTACCACAAAACCAGATGCTTTTTTTTCAAACAGATCATAAAACCAATAAAGGGAAAATGTTCGGTTTTAATTACTTGTATTTTCTGCTAAGAAACATCAGTTGACAAGAAGAAAATTTATGTAAACGCGTAAAGCGCATGAATACAGCAAACATACAAATGACTTCACGACGGAATCACAGTTTTCTTTAGTTGAAATACGAAAACAAAATTGTATTAGAAGTAAGGAGTCTGGGTAAGAAGGTACAGCTCGGTAGATGATGAAAAGAGTGACGTTTAAGCAATGTTAGGGGATGAAAAACTGGCGGAAAGCCCCACAGATCCGCTGTTACGGCTAGCTACTTACTTTTACTTAAGCATTCGTAAATCAAAGCGTTAGGGCGCATTTGGCCTGCAATTCCTACGAGCTAATTAGACACGTACATACACAAAGGTAACAAAATTTTCAAAAAGCAGGCATTTAAAATCGTAGCGAAACAAAGATTTTGAGATTCAAACATTACCCATTAACACATTTTAAAACTTTCAAGCTTCTAACTTCGCATCAAAGCCAGCACCAAAGTTTAAAGAAGAAACCGTCATTTTAGGTGTTTAATAGCTAAGGTCTTTAAGAAAATCAATGGATGTAAAAGCGGTGTCTAATTGCTTAAAATGGCGATTGCAATCTCGAAAAATTGTGAACAAATGATAGACTTTTTTGGTACTAGACATTCCGTACAATTCTGTCCCTAGCTATTGCAAACCTTTTGCACACGTAAAGAAAGCGTCAAACTATTTTTAAAAGATCAAGTTCTATGTCTGTCATTTCTCTCAATTGTTCTTTGATGTGATCTTACTTTGAAGTTTTACAAGTGCATTGCATTGCAATTCAATTCAAGAGTCTGCAGGCAGGCTATGTCTGATGATGAGCTGATGTTTATTCCCGATAGAGAAAGTTGGCAACAGCCGATATCAAATCTAAATCCAATAATTTCAGCTAATGTTTTAGATTAGTTACAGACACTGAATGAAAAGCAATATTACAGACGGACAATCTCATTAAAAAGAATCGAGAAAATTGGAAATTCTATCAAAATTCTACAGTACCGTCGAGCTTAAGATAATGATGATGGAGGATGTCGCATATCTCCGGGCTCTAGAAATATGGGCTGCAGTGGCAGATTCTCTGGAATTTTTAAAACCATCGTCTTTTCGACATCTTATAGGAGCCTCTCTTATATGGTATCAGCCAGAGATTACAAATCATCTTCTCTTCTTTCTGCCAAGTTGCTATTGTTATCAATTCGTTGTCAACAAACAGAATGCGCTGAGTTGGGAAATTTTTCACCCTTTCCTTGCAGTCTCTTCATATCTTCCGTATAGTATTCAAGAAGTCGTGATTTTCTGAGTAACCAACAAGATATCCCAGAAAAGGATTTGACATGATCATCTGATATTTAATCCAGTTCAGCAGAAATTCGCAAAACTCGAGATATTTTAAGCAGAAGGTGTTCGTCACAGTTATCTGTTAAAAATACGAAAAGAACCCCACCCACTAGTCGTGCCTTTCCATTGTGTACTTAACGGCGTTATACGACAAAGCAATAAAAAATGTTGATTAAACAGGACACGAAAAAAGTGTGTTAATGTTCGGGAAAGAAAACTGCCAAACAAATTAATTTGAGTTCATTCTCACTGTACCGATTCAAGCTCGCCCGGCAGCGTGGATTCATCTAAACAAATTTAAGATTAAGCAGGAAATATTGAAGCTTTTTTCGTATCTTTTTAGTAACAGATAAGAAAGTGTTAATTAGATATTCGATCAGGCCGTTTTTAGAATGATATTGATGAATTTTTAAATATGTCAGTTGCAAAGCCGTCACCTTTATGGTCTTAGATTGCGGTAGCTTTAATATACCACATCTTTCACTGACTAGACTCGAGAAATATTTGGAAAACATTAATAAATTCATAATCTACTTTGCTGTATAATATTAGATAGTTGTTGAAAAAGAAGGAAACCAGATTTCCGATAAGATTTGATGCTCTTTTAACACATTTACACCTATAATGGGTTTGACACAATCAACTTTGGTTTGCCAGGCGCTCAAACGCTCAAAAGGAATCTGAAAACGAGGCTTGATGAATGGCAGAAAATGGAACAACAGCTGTGACAACAATATATTGCTACCTACCAATATATTGGAACCTTACCAATATTCAATATATTTTAATCTTCAATTGTGATTATTCACAACATATAGTTTTTATCTTAGACATAATAGACTGTGTAGACCTTTCGTGGCTCAGGTTGGGTTCTTGAACGGATAAATGTATTGTTTTGTAATGCCAAAAATGCTGTAAAATATGTATACATGTATTTATACTTAATTATTTCTTATGTTAGATATAAATGTATTTTAATTTTTTTATTTTTAAACAATTTTACTTTGTAGTAGGCTTGAATTAGCTTTTATTTTGTAGCTTTTTTTATATGCACACTTTAAATAAAAAGATAATAAAAATGACAATGATAATAATAATGATAATAATAATATGACATTGTCAAGATTTAAAATTTGATTTAAGCGCCATCTTTGCATACAGATTTGGAAGTTTTTCTGTCAAGCCCAGATCATACTAGCGAGTTATGTCTTCATGTTTTCTTGTACAAAAATTCAATTTAGCTTTAGTCTTTGCTCCAAACTTAAGAACCACTACAAAGACAGGGTGATGAGCCATTTGCTACAATCGCCTGTCACAAACTAGTGGGATCCCAATGACCCTTGCGATCATACGGCAATCGGACCTAAAGCTGATTTCTCAGCTAGCAAAAAGATTAGGCAATTGAGGATTAATGACTTTTTTGAATGGGCGACAGAACGAGCTATGCCTTAGGCCTCATATGAAGATATCCGAGAACATAGCATAGAGATAAAGGAACTGTATTACGTTAGAGGTGAAACATAGGAGGAACAAACGCAAAATAATTGGCGGCGACATAGATACAAGGTCTACAAGCTGTTTAAAAAACCAAGCAAAGTTTTGAATGAAATTTGGAATCAGATCGAGTATATTTTTCAAAGTGCTTAGTTTGAAAGGCTTGTGATTAGGTCATAGCAGCTCTGAAACTCAAGGGTAAAAATATATTATTCGGTGACAAATGGAAGGTAAAGCAACAAAAAGTACTCTAGTGCCATTTTTAGTGCCAATTGAGGTTTTAGTGTCTTTAGACTGTGCTGAAACGTACAGACACCTAATTAGGTTTTATTTTCCATTGGCCATATGAAAAGTAGAAGACCTGACTACAGACAATAGTAGGTTGAAAAGCATTACAAATTGCTTGCTCTTTATTATCGAGAATAAATCTCTTATCACAATCGAACTCCAAATCTTTACATCTTGCATGGTATTAAATGCATTATAAAATACTTGAATACATTGTATCCAAAATGCATAGATTAAGAAATTTTAAAAACTCTTTACTGTCAAATAAACTGTCAGATTTAATAAAGATCTGTGGCAAGGAACCCAAAACTTGTTCGCCTTAAAAGTCTGTTGGAAAACCACATGCACTTCTTCATCGTGCACTTCTATCGTAAAGATTGTCCGGTCTAAAAAAGTTTCATAAAAATGGTTTACAGCAACGTCCGATTGTCTTTGCTGCGTCTTTAGTGAACCAAATACACGAACCAATAAAAAAAGATTGGGACAGCTCTTTCTTAACGCGTTTCTGACCATAAACAAGCCTAGCAATGACGGCATATTTTTCTGCTTGGTTCCATTATTCAGTTAGCTCATCTGTCTGATCAGAAATGATCTTGATAAACCAGTGTGCATTTTTCTACCACGAAAGACTGTAACGGCAAAATCCATTTTGTTTGTATTGCGTTGAAATTTCATGATACAGCGCTCTTTGTATTGAATGAAGTGACAAAATAATTTTGTTCCATAAGGCTAATTTGACCTTTTCTGATCGGCACTTCCGGTCATTGAAAAAACTGGGACAAGTTCATTCCCTGTTTAATTGTGATTTTCCTGAAAGATATCTTCAGGAAAAGAAAATATCTAAACTTTTGTTTTGAATATATGTTCTGTAAATGAACCATGTTATTCCATAATCTCTTTGCCCTACAGGCATTGTATTACATACTTCATGTTGTCGCAACTCGTCAAAAGATTCTAACAATTTATTCAAGGAATAGGCCTAAATATGATATGTTTTTCTCACGTGAATTAAGACTTTTTCCTGAATCTTCCTTGGACGAAAATTCTTGGAACATCAATTCCTTCCTTTTTGTTAACAGTTGAACGATGAACGAATTCATTCGTTTCTATTTCAAAATCTTCCGTAGAAAACAGCTGAGAAATGAAATCTAGAAAACAGAAATACATACTTTATGAGTTTTAAAAGCAACTAAATGGTAGTTCAGATACAAAGAAGCAGATAGTGGATGATAAAAACAGATTTAGGGGGTTTCCTTCAGGCCAATACTATTCTCATCATTGTTGCTAAAAAGCGAAGGGTTTACATTTTACACCATTTACTACCTTCTTTTTTTCCCTTAACCTCTATATCTTGGCATCACGCTTTTCTTCTCATCCTTCTTTCGAATTCAAATCCGTACAAACACTACCATGGCATTAGCTTATTATCATTTCTCTCATAAACCAATCAGCTCAATCGTTCATAATTTGATTCACATCACAATTTCGATGCTTTTTATATCAAAACCTAATGTAGGTAGCACAGTACTTACCAAATTAAACTAACAACTTTGGCATAATTCCACAATTTTATTCTGACAAATTTTTCAGACAATGTGCGTTCAACGCGTGTGCATTCTCTGCCGAACAAGAATCTTATTAACAACATGAGGACCTACCTAGGCTGAAAAAGTATGCTCTAGTTCCATCTTGCCTGACATAAAAGTTCTCCTGAAGCTTATGACCTTTGGAAAACCGCAGCATTGCATGGTCATATATACCATAGTCTCTAAACAGTATGATGCCACCAGGCTTTAGAACCTAAAAAGTAAGAAAAGACTAATCACACAAGCCCTTGTTAAAACACGAAAAAAGAAAATACAGTAAAGATTATATTCAAAGCCCTGCCCTTTAATGTCTCCCTCTAATATATACCCTTGTTTATTTCAATCAAGTGGTAAAGACACCAACTCATATTAATTTACTTCTAATAAATACTCCAGATATTTGAAGAGGGTTTGATTGCAAAACATAAGGAAACATGTTCGTTCAGGATAAAATAAACATGTTCACTTATTTCCTTTTTCTTTCTGCAAGAAACATAAAAAGCTTCTGAAAGCACCTTCTAGATAAACACAGACAATAAATTTGAACTACTTCACATTCTGATCAATTTATTAACGTACTTCATAGGACACAAGAAACATTTCTGGTAAAAATTAATTTCTCCTGCCATTTTGCAAATTTCCATTTAATTTGCTATATGCTAAATAATTAAAGATACCAAAAACAAATTTCTTTAATAAAAATAATAAAACAGTTAAATACAGTTATTCTTGCTTGCATTCCCGCCCTCTCTAATAATTTCACCTTTGTACTATACTTTGAAAATAATCCTGCCTCTCTGATAATCCTGTCTCTTAAATAATTCTGCATTAAATAAGGAGGTTTAATCAATAAACCAATAGGGAATGAAGTATATCAAATGTCCACACCATTATAACATTCAAGATTATCAAACAAATTATAACAGAAAAGAAAGATATGTTTTATAATTTGTATAAAGATTTGTATAGAGAATAAAACCATACCCTGGATATATTCCTTATAGCAGAAGACATTTTTGATGGTAGAATGGCAGACAAAACAAAAATCATTGTGACTGCATCAATGCTACGGCTTGGGATATTTTCTGTTAAATCATCTACTGTAGCATCGCATTGAAATGCATGACAGCGATCTGGATCATACAAAGGGTTATCCTTCAAAAGAGAATTATATTCTCACTAACAATAATGTATGCAAATGAAAATATTATATACCAATTGAAACATTTAAATAAGAGTTAGCTGACATAGCAATGATTAAAATCAGAATTATGATTGGAGTAACTTTTAAAAAAAATTTAAAGTTTTGAATTGAGGTTCTGAATACAAATATCATGACTTGAAAATTGGGGTTTAACTTGAGAGAAAAACTACAGGTCATCCATAATCACTGAGAACCTCCATTTCAAAACAATAAACCTTTTTTATAAACAAAAGCATATTACCTTGACAAACTGGACTGCTCTTGGTGAGAAATCACATGCATATACAAACATATGTGGATTCTCTTCCAGTAGAGGAAATATTGCATTGCCAACTCCACACCCGACCTCGAGAATCTTGACCTGCTTCTTAATCCCAGAATCCTATTAAGTTAAAAAAGTTGTGATAATGTTTCAAGATTGGTTAAGAACAGTAATATACAGTCAACTCTGGTTATTGTCAGAAATGGTGATTGATGAAGTTTAGGCAAAACACAGGGTGTATCTGCAAATGAACAAGGGGTGGGTCATATCAGGCAAGGGGTGTAGCATGATAGACAAACGTTTTTGTCAATAGAACACCTTTTCACAGCCTTAAGTGTGGAAGCTTTTGTGCAAAGGTCTATGATTACATCAAATGATCATTAACAAGGCAGTAAATGGAATCACTCTTGATAGATAACACAATTTATTTCATTATTTTTCAAGACAATTTGCAGTGACAATTTTTGATGTGCAAAAGGATATGAAATATGATTAGCAGCCAATAGCAACACCTTAACTTCAAACATAAGGGAGACACCTTAGGGAAAGACTTACCAAAATCAGTTAGTAGGCCTTTTTGTAAGAAAAAGTCCACATGGGTGGACCACCTACTGTAGTTTCTCACACAAACTCCAAGTAAATAACATATAATGTCAGACAATCAATCACTTGGAAAATACTCAGTTTTATTTTGTTTCATTTCACATTCATTATCATAACAAGAATTTTGATGTGGTTTGTGCTGACCATCACAAAATGTTTAAAAAACACCTTACCTAACTTTAATTGCCCGGATGAGCTTAACATATAAAAAGGGCTAATGAGGTTAGAATAACAGCTATCTCTTATATTTTCTGCAGATGTCTATTGCATTTTTACAAAATTGGTGGATGACTTAAATGCTTTGATACATTGGCTTTGTATTGTTTAAATGTAAATTGCTTGATTGGCTAGAAACTACTGAAAATGTGTTTGTTGAAAAAAATTTGGCCAAAACTTCTATGATTCTTTCAAAAACAACAGAGCAAACAGCTAACATGGTGACAAAGTTTGCACGAATGCTGACTTGAACATCAGCAATTGCTTGTGTCAAGTAGAAAGGCCAGTATGTGTATCTTTTGTGCTTCATGAGAGTGAACACCTGCCCCACTCATTTACTCTGTGCTGAAAATATGATGAAAAAACTGTGTACAGGGCCTACTAGAGGAGGCTCAAGCCTTATAGCAATAATTCATAACAACTCATCACACCTACACACAATATGTGTACCACACCTAAAATTTATATTTGAATCATTTCATTTTGACAAAAGGATTGAAACGTTAAGAAGATTCATACGGATTATCCCGTTTAAATGACGAGCCCTATGCTACTATTCGAATTTCCACAGAACCATGGTTAGTGTGACTGCAAGGTAAGTTGAACAACTTGCTTCGCAGTGTGCACTTTGGGTGTGTGTGGTGGGTCATATCAGGCAGGGGGTGTAAAATGATAGACAAAAAACCCAATGTGCACAATGCAACATTGCATTTTGCACAAGGGGCATTTTTAAAGGGCATACATCCTGCGAGCAGTCCACAGCTAGCTCATAAAATTCCCTTGTTGTCCAGTGCCTGTCTTTGAAAAATCTAGTACCATTCCGTTTATAAAACAAGTCCCAGTTCTTTAGGGCTTCTTTTTCTAACTTCTGTTGCTTGAAATTTGAAACTGGTTGATCAGTATCTATTCTTTCTCTTTCTTCCGGAGACAATGCTCTTTCAACTTTACTCTTGATCTGTTCGATATTTTTAACGCCTTCTTCCATTTTTGACCTTTGTTAGTCGTCTTTCCAGTTCAAAAGTTGTCACATGGTATTTACCTATACCGTATCATCAACAGTATTATTATTATCATCGTGTGGTACAATTATGGGTTAGCCTCCTTTTAAGGAATAGCATCGGAGCACAGCCTCCATTTCGAACTTTCGAGAAGAAGGCGAATCGGTTACTTTCCATCAAACTTCTTCAATAAAATGTTTTCTGTGGGGAATCTTCGAATACTGTTTCGACAGATGTGTAGTATTTATCAAGCTCCTGGCCTATTGGAACAAGTTAGAGGTTACAAAGTTCGATCAGCACTCAAACTGCGCTGCGCAGGTTGCCGTTTTGTGAAGTGGCGCGGACGAGTTAGAGTTGTTTGTGACAAAAAGCCAAGACATAAACAAAAGAGCATCAGAAAGGGATAATTAGATGACTAAATTTTCGAATGGTAGTATTAAATGTGCTCAAACTGATAATGGTCATATTGATGCTAAAGGAAGTGAAACAAAGTGTTACGCGTCTGTATGGATAGAGTGTGCACACTACAAAGCAGGTATCGTCAAATGGAAACAAAATTGCGACGAAGAACATAAATTTTGTAAATAGTTGAATGATCTGCTTGAAAAAAAGTCATGCCAAAATATTTTAAAAGAACAAGAAAATAACATTGCCACATGTTGCTTTACATTTAAAACATTGAAGTGTCATCATTTGTTAACTCTTTTTCTCATTTACAATGCTCAGTTTAAAGCTCTCACAATTTATGCAAGACAGATGAAAGGCTTTTTGAGCCCTATGTTTTCAAAGTTTAGTTAAGTCTCCTCCCCATGCAATTTAATCCAAGAAAAGTTTGTAGGCCTATGCACAAAAATTTGACGTTACTTCATGGGAGACAACCAAATTAAACGCCATGTCCAAAATTTGGATTTTGTAATAAAGGCTGTGGTGTTCTTTAGAAGAAATATGGTACACATTTAAATCTTTAACGGTGTATTCATGGGTGTGGCTGCTTGAATTTGCCTACAGCACAAGACCCGTTCCCAATTTTGAAAGATGGCATGACCTGTTATTGAAAAAAAGGGAAAATAATTAACTTGAAGCAAGTTTGCTATTTTCGTGTTTTGTTCCAGAAGTTTTGAAACAATTTTGTATGTGGCTCTGACTTATTTAAAGGGGCATGGGCAACCAGTAGCCTTTGAGGGCGTAAGCTGGGAAGGCGGCCATTTTTCGTGGTCCACAAAAATGGTGGAAAGCTGTTAGAACAAGCTGCGTGCAAAATAAAACCAAATAGAAGCCGTCAAAAGCGATCTGAAGCGCTAAATTGAATCCAGAAATTTCCCAGCAAATTCTCCTTGCCATTTTTGTCTTGCATAGAAGAACACAGTTAGAAAAATTAAACAAATGGGAGTGCGAAAAGCCTGCTGGTTGCACAGGCCCCTTTAAGGGATGATACTAAAGAAAAAAGTTCCAGGTTCTAGCCATAAGATTCTAGAGAGATGAAGCCCAATTAGGCACATGAAAATGAACACAAGTAGACGAGCTTTGAAGGCATAATCATCATCATAGAACAGCATCACCCAAAAAACCTAATGAAAACCTTTACTAAGTTGTACCTCTTTAAAAATCTAACAAGAAAGAAACTAAATAATTTATTAAAAAATGCAAGAAGTAGATATTTTTCTGGAGAGGTAGAGAGAGAGATTTGCTGCTGGCTAATTAATATTTTTTATCTTGATACTCAAGAAAACATCTTTCTGGAAACTGCTACTGGTTCAAAGAAAAATGAAAACAACATAATACAATACATACTTACAGTGAGGTTATCTGACATAAAATATTTACAGAATTAATTATGTAGGTTTATGTGTTAACGATCGGCTCCAAACAGTTCTTTCATTTTATTAAGGAAAAAACGTTCAACTGTATTGGCGCACTTATAATACTCTGTATCAGGTCCATTGTAAGTCCTACAGTTTGCAAATATTCTGGTCATGTCACCATAGAAAAGCTTCTTTGTATTGTAATAATCACTCCTTAATCTTTCACCCATTGATTTTAAATCTAGAGGCAAAACAAAACATATATGCAGTGTTTCTGAAAGTTTCAATGTTGATGCCCACTTCTCTAATTGGCTAAGGGATCACATGTTAACCATATCAAAGAAAAAATGTCTAACACCAATTGAATTCAAGCAATTTAACATATTGTCTTTTTGTTTACATGGGGAAAAGGTAGGTTTAATAAAAAAATGAAGTTTTGTTTAAATGGGGAAAAGGTAGATTTATTAATAAAATGAGGTTTGATAATTTCTTTTTTAGCAATAATTGCTGACAAATAAAAAAATTAAGCATAATACAGCTCAGTCACAAATTGAATAGGAGGTTCAGTTGACCTTCCAGATATTTTGTGGTGCCTGGTTCTACCACAGCCTTCATCGCTGCCAATACAATTAAGATGGGACAATTAAATCAATGAGGAATAAAATAGTGCATTGGGAATAAGAAGAATTTCAAGACTCACCCATTGGGTACTTAATGATATCATAATAATCAGGAACTTCATTTTTGTCAACTGGCTTTAGAAATGGCCAAGCGCTTGCATGATTCTGCATAAAAATAATTTGTATCATGTACCAGTCTGCCTTTTTGAATATATAAAAATCTCAATTTGGCTTATAGAAAATAAATTCCACTATTTCTCTTGACAGTCTCAAAACTCCATTGTGATTTACCAGATTTTTGAAAGTACCATCAAATAGTATTGCATACAATCTTTAAAATTTGTTTACAGCAAACAGGAGGAAAAAATCTGTTGCAAAAGTCATATAAAAAACATCATCACACATGATCTATGGTGCTTGAATCACTTAAGAATCCGTAGAGAAGGTTTTGATTTTGTCTAAATTTTATAAAACAATAAATCAAGGCTAAAAATGCTTGAGTGTCATAGTGTATGGCAAAATTAGTTGGTAGGTTTTTGGACTGAAGTTTATGCTGCCAATCTACCTTGACTGCAGTTAAGACATCTCTCAAGGTCTTCTGAAGCTTTTCTTTTCCTGTCTCATCACTAAAAATAAAACATTTTTTCAAGTTGTTATTAGACTACATGAAGTACCAAAATTTTCAGTGGGATTTATTTTCAGGGAAGCAAGGCAAGTAAAATTAATCACATCAATTTTGTTTGGAACAAAAATCTCTTTTTACCCAAATTTTCAAATTTTAGAAAAATCTTGTTTTACACCAATGGACTTTACACATAGCAAAAAAACTTTGTTATTGTTGAGTATTACTGCACATTCCAGTACACACACATTTTTCATAAAAATAGATATTCATTTCCTGAGCCTCAAAATTCTTAAATTTTTAAGATTTTGAGTCAGATACATCTATATCAAGACATATAGTGTGAAACTCGCAGTTGATTTGCTTTCCAAAAAACTTGAACTAACAAAAAAGTCTTAATGAAGCATGAGCCTTGCATTGTTCTTTAGCATTTTTGAGCTTATAGACTTTATTCTTATATAAAAAGTGTGTCTCAATTTCAGTTTTTTGTCTTTCTTTGTCATCAAAAAATAAGATATCCTGTTCATCTTCACTTTCTTCTCTGGCCCTCTACATTCAAGAAATTTGAGTTGACAGTCTTGCCCTCTCTTCAGTTCCGTTTATTGGGCTGACATTGAAGTATTCAATTTTTGTAACGTTTATTATTGTGCTCCTGATAATTCTATTTTTTGTAATGTCTATTATTGCACTCCAGATAATTCTATGTTGACGACAGAAATAACTTACAGAAAGCGTTTCCTTTCTCATGGAAATTTGTTTCTTCCATCTAAATTTTTCAAGTTCTCACCAAAATTTACACCAAAGTATAGAAAATATGACCGCAATTTTTTCCAAAAAAAATTTATCTACTAAAATATTTTGCATCGGACCTTCTGGTACATAATGTATTAAGCAGAATACTATATTTAAGTCTCAAAGTCTTCCTACTAGCTGTGTGCTACTTGTATTAACTTACATTCAACCAAATGAAAACAACTAGCATACTAACAATCTAGGCTTCCTTTCATACCTTTGGTCTTAAAAACAAAAGATTTTGTGTGTTTCTTTCAATATTCTTAAAATCACAAAATGTGAGAAAAACAATCACAAAAAGACAAAATTTAAGAAACCATTAAATTTCTGAAAATTGAGTCTTTGAAATCATTTTTTGTAAATCACTTTTTGTCACCTTTTTATTAACTGCTCCAGCAATTGATTTTGCATTCTTTACACATACAGGGGTGGACAATTCTGGTAAAACGGTGACCCCCAGTAGGGGATGTGAAGCTCCTTCAGTTGTATCCCACATGCAGCCTCCAAAAACATAACTCTTACAACAAACATAGAAATCTCTAGCAAAAATTTGGTTGCCCAGCGGTTACCCTGTCATCCAATCAATCATCCAGATATATAGACATTGCTTAAAGTGCCTGTGACATGATTTTTTTTATACTCTTAATTGAAGCGTTGCACTGCTCTTATAGTAGATCGGAACTTTTTTTCAAATAAAAGCGTTTTTATATTGAAATTAAGCAAAATAGTGCGGCCTAGCTATGTCGCTTTATCGTCATTCGCCGTTCTCTTGTGACGTCATGGGAGGAACTCGTTATTGTAACAATGTAAGCGCTACCTTCAAAAATCTCATCCTCGCTGCCACTTCTTTCTCTTGAAATATCGCTCATCTTGGACCTGTTAGATTTCCCTCATTGACTACGATACAAAAACTCGAAGGAGGAGGCGATCGGGTCACTCCCGTGATGTCACTGTCTACTTATTCTGAAAACCAAGATGGCGAATTTTGGCGTAGAAGATCGCCAATAACTCCTTCATTTCTGACGAAACATAAAAACTAACCTCAGAAATGAAAATAACAGGCCTTTTTACATAAGAATAGATATATAAACCAAAAAGTACGAAAATCATGTCACAGGCACTTTAAGGCATATAGACATAAGTCAAGGCAACAAAGAAAAAACATAGTTCAACTCACGCTTTTGGAACTGTGTCAAGACTCAAGATTGTTTTTTCTTTCGCTGCTGTGCTTGCTACTTGTCGCACAGGTGGCACCTTTCCTTTTAATGCACTGAAAAGGAAAATAAGCAGTTTGGTATGGAAATCGATCCACTTTTTAAACAAAGAAAGAATACATAATCTATTTAAACCCTTGCAACTAAAAGTACAGTACTCTACCATGGAGTACTAGTATTCTGTGGTTTCTTCATACCTGGTATTCTGTAGTTTCTTCCAACCGGTTAGCTCTAGAAGAGAGAATAGACTTTCAGCATGAAACCATTATATTTTTGGTCATGTTTATGCAATATTATATTTGAACCTTAAATTAATTAAAGATTTATTTCGCTTTTGAACTGCATGACCTTATGTAATCTTTATGTTTACTTCGGAACAAGGTAATCATTTTAACAATTTTATTCTTCCATAAAACAGATGCTGCCAGTTCCTTTTATGAAAACTGTTCAACCAAAGCAATTCCACCAATGAAGTGATTGTAGCAAGGGAAGAACCAAACGAATGAACAAATGTGCAAAAGAAAAAAAACGAATGCATGAATGAATGAATGAATGAATGAATGAATGAATGAATGAATGAATGAATGAGTGAGTGAACAAAGAAAAGAACAAATGAGCAGAAGAAAAAGTGAAAGAATGAAATAATGAAAAAATGAATTAGCGGAAAAATTGAATCAAACTACAATGTTGCTTGATATAAATATTGAAAACTCTTGTGAAAAACTCCTCCTTTTCCGGAAATGACCAAGTATTCTACATAATCAAATAATATTGTTCCCTATGTTGTAATTCCTTGTTTGAAAACTGTTTGAATGTATTTTTGAAAAAGTGAATTTATACTCTAAAAGAACAATGGTAACTACTATTAAACCTTGCCGAGTTTATCAGAGACATGGTGGCGAATTGAATTATTACATTTTAGACCCGTAATACAAATGGAATTAATTAACAGAAATATGTATGCTAATGTATGCACAATGTGGATTAGTATGAGTATATCTCTCATGTCATATAACAAGCAGAGCAATCTGGCTTATACAGTATGGTACAGGGGAGTGTCTCTTCTGTTTATGCGATTTGCCAATATTAAAAGATATTCTTTTTCTGATGACGCTCTCAAAATTTTAAATAACAATTATAACTGAAGTGTGTAAATTCTGAATTACCTCCGTACCAGATTTTCTTTTCGAAGTTAGAGTAGCTCATAAAGCAAATCAGCTTCAATAAACAATTCCAGTAAGGTTTTATATCCACATCGTTTAAAAACTGGTTGTTAGAAAGTTTTCTTTCATAGCATTCCTTCATAAACTTACAGTGGTTTTTCTGTGAACCCATTAATAGGCAAAAACGATCCTATGGTCTTACTGGTAGCACGATAGGGATAGCAGGCCATGTTGGGAATGCGATCGCACGCCCACGCCTTGGCACACGCCTTCCATTGCTCAGAAGTGCAGTTTATTGCACGCCTTAAATAATCTGAACACTTTATTCTAAAGTGACCAATATGGCCCAATGTAATTTTTTTATCATAATTCAACTATGAACGAACGGTGATAATCACGCAATCGTTTCTATTTGATTTCTACTTGACGGAAAATTTGGCGAATATTCTAATTTGCTTAAAGTTATGGTAAACGTTTTCTGGATGAAAACATCCATTTCTCGATTTCTTCAGATTCTAGTAGCCGGACTTTCAAGGCACACGATGATACTATGTTTAAAACTAACAGAAGTTTTGAAAGTGGCGAAAAGCCCCTGTAAACGAAGGTTTCCATAATTTCTTTATCAAAGTTTTGAGTTGAGGTCTGAAAATCGCTTGTCTCATTTGCAATAACTGCAGTGGAATCACGATATAACGAACCCCGGATATAACAAACTTCCCGGTACAACGAACGAAATTCCTGGTCCCTTGGATTCTGCCTAACAAACTCCTTACAAATTCTCTCGGTATAACAAACCCCGGATATAACGAACTCTCGTTATCACGAACCATTTTTAGGTCCCTTCATCATAATTACCCTTGATATAACGAACTTTCATAAATTTTTCTTCTGTTATTTTTGTTTATTTATTTTCTGTGTTCATTTATCACTTTCTCTTGGGGAGAAATCATTTTTATAATCGGCAAAACATGTCGATGATACATTTCAAGCACTGGCTGATGGACTCAGACCAGCGAGATGAAAGTTTGATTGCGTCAGAAATTACTGCAAATGAGTTCATTGACACTACTGAATACCTTTTTACATATGAGACATTGGCAATGAGAGACGACAAAACTTTATTGAGAGACCCAGATGGAGAAGCAGAAAAAGAAAAGTAAGAATGTGAAGTAATCGAAGACATCATTCAGGCACCAACTAGGAGCGAAGTGATACCAGCTTTGCCAATCTCTTGGTCCCAAGTTATAAAAGGAACATTAAGATTTTCATTTTCAATGACCAGCCAGTTGTATTATTTGAATTCAGATTGGGTTTTTTGAGTTAAATGGTACATGTATGGCTGTACATGTGCACAGAGGCTGGAGATAGCCTAAACAAGCCCACCACATGTATTTTAGGCGTGAACTGCGAGAGGACCCCCAAAAAACGTTATCTCTCGGTTTAACAAACTCCCGATATACGAACTATTTTCTGGTTCCCTTCAGAGTTCGTTATATCGGGATTCCACTGTAGTTACAACCCCATGGCACATGTAAGGCTTTGTTTATTTAAACAGGCTTATTGATCTTTAAGCTTTAAATGATTTGACCCAGATTACACTGGTTTACGAGTGTATCTTGCAAGTGCGATCAGTAAAATCCCGTTTTCTCAGGACTCTTAATTCCTATATATACAGTTTACTTTATGTGCATTTCTCTAATCTGTATGCAAATCTGTATGTAATCTTTAGAAACTTTTACTAATAAAATGTGGCCAAAAATGTTCCAAAACTAAGAGACTTTGAATTGTGAAGATTTAGCTACTGTAGCTTTCTTACAAAATATAAACGTGCAATTAACAATTTAATTCGTTCTAACATTAGTCAACAGATAAGTTTTCTTTATGGTGAAAACACAGTTAGAATTCTTAAATTTTGAGAACGAGATTGTCAGGAGAAGCAGACCAGAAGGGTTTATAAACTGCAGGATTACATATTAGTTAACCTACCTTATTGTTAATGTTTTTCTCTTTAATATGTTGGGTTTGACGTTAATAAAGCTTGTTTGATAAAATGTATTGATTGGACTAGCCTTGTCTTATGTTTTCTTATGATAACGTTATGTAGTCTAGTCCATATACAGCTGACTGTATTAAGTACTTTGGTGGAATAGCACACCATTGCACGCCTTGGCACCACAAGGAGTGCGATTCATTGCACCCCTGCCATTTTATTCCCAGCATGGCCTGGGATAATGGCCTACATAAAATACAAAGTTATAGGTAACAGTGTGGCAAAGCTGGATCTAAAGCAAAAACAGCAACATACCTATGCCAGGAACACTGCTGATAGGTATTTCTCGTACGCCTTCTTTAAAACATGAAAGACCAGGGTGCCTGATTCGGATTTCGTTTTGCTTTAGCTCAATGATCTTCTTCAAAATCTGAAATAAACAACGGCTTATAAATTGAGCAAAAACTAAAAATAGCTAAGATCAAATAGCTAGATAAGGGCGAAACAGGTTTTTAAACTTCAATTTATTTAAGAGAACATTTCACGTCTCAGTATATCGATAGAAAGCATACTGCATGTACAGCCTGTCATTCACTTTCCCCAATTATATGGCCTCAACCTCAGGAAGATGTAGCAGGCCTAAATTTGGACACATTGGCAACAAAAGCAAAGTTATAATTTAAAATACATTTGATAATACCCAAGAAAAATTTAGACAAAAGTTCCTTTGAGAAATACCTCTTTTTGTTTCTTGACAACCAATGAAAATTCACGGTACGGAATCTTGGGGTTGATCTCACACTGTTGTGAATAAATAGAGACGAAATTTTTACAGGTAGGTATGTAGTAACTATAACCGAATTCTTGGTAGATTTGAGAAGCCAGTCTAAGCTTGTAAATAATAAACTGAGATAAACAGGACCTGACAATGCAAATATCTCATAACAGATTAGACAGAAAAAGACCAGGTAAAAATGTGATATATGGAGAAAAGGTTAGGCAACATAGAAAAAGAAGCATGATATGTGAAATATACAACAAAGCCAAAATGTGATTACGAAGGAAGAAATCGTACATGCATCAGATGAGCGCCTTCGTACTCTTTAATGTAGCCAAAATAGGTACTTTTTGCCAACTTTATGTTCTTGCAAAAACCCTAAGGGGAAAAAATGGTAAGAAACTTGTGAAGTAAATTATGATGCTTAAAACTATGGCCCGTTTGCTAAAGAACAAATAAAGCAAATCAAGCTAAGCAATAACATATTGAACGTCAATTGGTAAACATCTATTATCATTTAGAAAAATATTTCATCATTTTATTTCATCAGACTTGAAGGATTCTGGTAAGGAGGATTATTTAACATGCTATAACACACATAACTGACATCAAATCATTTAATGGAAAGGACAGTAAGGACAGTAAGTATAACACACATCATTTCTGAACTGCCCTCTGGTTTACAAAAATCCACAGTTTTGTCTCCTTTAACACTTTTCCATGCACCAGAGCCACAGTTTCTCATTCAAGAAAAATGAGTCAGAAACATCAAAATTACGTGTGCTTTCAATCAGACCTGGGTAATTTTCCACACCCATCAATTCTTTTCTCTCAGAATCTTTTCAGATTGATAATATGGTCTCAGAATTTTTATATCAAAAAAAGATGAGATTTGAAAATGAATTATATAAAAATGATTAATGAATAATGCATCAAACAGAACACGAAACGATCGTGTCTTATGATCAAAATAAACAAATGATACCTACTTGCTTTTTAAAATATCCAATGGCATATTCGTCAGCATAGGTCAAGAAGTTTAGTACGTTGTGTTTGATGTGATAGTCTTTCACATGGTTCATCATGTGGGTCCCATACCCCTGAAAGCAAAACAAATGATGGTATAATTATAAAGTAATTCTAGGACTCTTACAGAAAGCACTGGGTCATTCTATACAACGGTACAACTTAAGCTCCTATCTCTTTCTAAGCAAGCCCTGCCAATACCTACAAATTTCGAAATATAACTCAGGCAATATATAATCAAAGGGAAATACCTTGACTTGTTCATTAGATGAAACTGCACAGAATACAATTTCAGTAAAATTTTGCTTTGGAAACATTCGAAAACAGATTCCACCAATAGGTCTTCCATCTTTGATAAGCACTAGCGTTCTGTGTTTTCTAAAAAGGAGGTAAATACATTGTTCAATCCAATTCTAAACAAAAGGCACATTGAAAAGAAAACTACAAATTGATAAATTTATAAAAAATGATTAAAAAATGCTGCTTCGTTTTAAATCTAATTATAATTTTGCAGCTATCTTTTCAAAATATTGTTCCGCAATACTGTTTTTTCTGTAAACACATTCTCCTAAGAAATGATCGCTCAGGCCCTTGATCCATTTCGAAACTTTCCTGTGTCTCCATTTCCATCATGGCTTCTTGCGAATCACGACTTCTTCTGGTTCTTCTACTTGAATAAAGGATTTTCTTTGACTATCTGTTCAGTGTCACATTACCAAGTTTTCTCGTAGCTTCCTTCTTTTCAACTTAAAACATTCTCAATTCAACAAATCGATGGTCCTTTCACGAGCATTCTTTGACAACATGTTGCTTTCTCTGACGTGCTTTTTTCTAATCTTGCCTCACTATTTGCAGAACCTTTTATGTAGCTTGATTCTTTAGAGAAATCTAGGCCTGTTAAGTCCAGGCTATACCCGATTCGACAGTTTGCAATCATTTTATGGTTCTTAGGAATAATTAACATTAATAATATTGTATAAATATTAAGAATGCTGCTTGACCTTTCGTTAACTTTAATCCTTCATCATCAAATTACCCACATTTAATCAAGTACTTCTTTCAATCTCCTTACACATTTTCTCTAGGACAAATATCCAGTCTGCATACTATCTGTGATATTACTTCCCTGCCAGTATCCTTCTACTAATTGCTTCAATGCCATTAGTTGATTGCGTTTTGTTCTTACACAAACCATAGGGTGACACAGGGTGACTACAGGGTGCAAATTACGCCCCATTACAAACTAGAATAAATCTTCTACTTTATTATCTGGCTTGAAATAATTTTTACCACATGGACATGCAAAAAGCCATTGCACCAAAATAAATGAAACAAGGCTGCTAAAAAACAACAATACATACGGGTCAAAAATTAGCCTTGATATGTATTCTCTGGGCATACGTGGAAGCTGGTAAGCAAACACATTCTGAAGGCCGACAAGCCACATCATTGTTTGTCTTGTGGGTTTCCTAAACAAAGTATTCCCTACAACATGGAACTCTATAAGCCCTCGTCGCTCTTCACTTCTAGCTGCCTCATCCCTGGCAATTTGAGATGGTAACACACCGCCCTGTAAAGAAAAACAGATGGTTAACTTGATAAGGAGCAGCAGCACCTAACCACAAGCCACATATTATTACTAAAACCTATTTTGAAATCAAATCAAAACAGATCTTGGTGGCTAAAATACCGAACGTATGACACTGCCTTTATGGGACAATTCTCACATATGATACATAAATTAGCATAGTGTTTGTTTGCCTCACTACTTATTCTTAATAAATGCTTTTAGATAGTCTTAGTCTTTATACATAGTCTTAATTTCTAATTATTATTCCGCTTTCAAAGTTTATAAAAATAGCAAAAAGGAAATAAAAACAAAACTAAAAAACTCAAAAATGTGACAATTTGACAATCTTCAAATTTTCGAGTTTACAGCAGCAAGAATGTGGCCAAAAAGTACAGTCATTGTGTGATATTGATCAAAGGTTCATTTTCAATGCCACCAATGAGCCATTTTTAATAAAAAAATATGATACTTTTCCATTAAAAAATTACCTCAGGTCCAACCATTTTCTCTGGATCTGATGTCCTAGACAATATTTTCGTCAGCACATCCATGGGAATATCACCTGAAAGAGGGAGAGAAATGTACAAGTTTGGCATTTTTAATGGACAAAGATGAGATATGGTAACGCAAATGGGTCAAAAGTCTTACATGCACATTCATTTAAACAAAAAATCTTTAAGACCATTTCAAACGAATTTGAAAATCCTTGATTCTCAAAATCCTTTGAATATTTAAACTAATAACTAACTGTTATAACCTCACCTTCTAATTCAAAGCGTAGTTTCTTTGGATCTGACTCGAACGGAAGAGGTTCGTCAGCAGGACGTTTCAACGAAGAATCTGGTAAAAAAACGTCTGTTTATCAATTGACAAAACTCACGATCTGATTTCATATATTTCCTGAAATTCTACTATTTGTTTAAACCTGTGAAATTTTCTTGTGTGCCGTGAAAAAATCTAAAAATAGCATGAACAACTTCGAGAAATATTCCTAATACACCATGTAAAGAGTTCAGACATGTACCACATATGAAAGGTAGTGAAAATACGAAATTCTGTCATTCAAATGTTAAAAAAAATCACATTTCTGACATTTATCATCTTTGCCAATGTGAAACAAGCCATTACACTGAGGACCCCTTCAAATGATAAACCTTTTAAAGGCATTGAGACTGCATGTGCGAGTTCAAAGCAGTTTGATTTCAGATCAATTATGTTTTTTGTTTGGACGTACTTGTCGTGGCGTAAAGGTAGTTAAAACTGACTTGAACCATATGAAAACAGGTATCTGGCCGCAATGAAATTTTGCATGAAGTTGTTTGTCAGTATACCGTGGCTTAGCTGCTTTACTTGCAATTCCAAAAAACAAATGCTATTACGAGAACAAACCTGACACCGATCCAGGATTTAAGGAAGACATTGGCGAGTTCAGGAATGTTCTAAGAGAAAAACATTTGAAGGTTATTGCACAGTAAAAACAGTAATTTAAAGTGTATCTAATAGCACTTGTTGCAAGTTGGTCCTTAAACATCTTTTGTCACAAATGATATGTCACCTCTTTACTGATGCTTAGAGGTAGGTTTGTAAATGAGACACGTCAGCTTTTAAGAGACATAGAAAGATTGAGAAGACTCTGCAGCCCAATACAGGAATGACCACATAAAAATAAGATCTACTTTCTTAGCTACCTGAAATATACTAGTTCTATAAGTGATTAGAATTTACTTGCTTATGGTTCAGGCTGGTGGTGACAATGCCATGCTTGCTAAAACTTGGTTCGAATGCACTTCTAATTTTTCAATCTAAATATTCAAGAGGTCTACTTCATTATCAATAATTCAAAAAGCTTTTGCTCTGATGAAGCCCCGTTTGCTGGTGCGAATTATTAGCCACAGTTGATTTTCGCGTGTTTATTGTTGTTTGCTCTCGGCGCGCTTCAGTGTTCCTTATTTGCTACATTTCTATCCTTTTTAGCCTGGCGTCAAAAGACTCAATTCTAGATGCAAACCTTGAGTCTAATGGTGAAGGTGTGATTGATGCATCTGCACTTAGAGGACTCTCTATTGAGGGGACTGATGGTGGTGACAAAGTTGATAAGGAAAGTTGGTCCGTGACTAGTTTTGTTGCACTCGCAGATACTGGGTAATGATTTGTAACATTCCTAGCGTCAAACTCTTCATTCCAGATTGGGCAGTTCCTTCCATAAATTTCTTCCTCAAACAAGTCTAAAAACCTGCAAAAAAATCCACACTTTGAATATCTACAAAACATTGAACAAAAATTATTTAACAGCTGGATGCAAGTGGTTTAATGTTCTTAATTTTCAAATAGAATTCGCCTCTCTGTTTGTAGCACTTTTGAGATTGGTTATCGATACTCATCGTAGATTTTCAATGTTTGATAATCCAAATTTACGAAAAGAAAAAACTAAAAACAAAAATTTGATCTCTGCCCTTTAAAAATCCAAAAGACATCAACTTAATTCATTTTCATACCTTGGGAAATAGGTAAGAACCATTGTTCTTGTTTCTGGGGGTAACTTTTCTTTTTCTGCAACAAATCTGTCAAGCAATTGTTGTTTCATCAAACTAAAAATTGACTTCAACATGTTTTGACCAAAGATTGAAGTTACTTCATGCCTTTGCAGACTGTCACAAAAATGCGGAACATGGCAATAGCAGAGCCACCTGAAATGAAAAAAAGGGTCTTATATTGCAAAAATGTTCTGGCCAACAGTTAGAAAGCTGGATTACTTTGCTTACAATCCTTAACCTGACTTCTTACAATTCTTGGTCTACATGGTGGATGGATTGTGGGTGGGTGAACTCTTGGTGGATGAATAACGTACATACGTCTGGTACAAAATAAAGCTGAACATACACAAGTCATCTACTGCGTCCTCGTCGCATCCCCTAGATAATGCTAAACAAGAACCGAAATACCAGGAGGCCGGGGGGCCTTGGCCCTCCCCCCAAAAAAACATAAACAGCATGAGTAAAATGCTAAAATTTTGTAAAATACGGTTGTTTTTCACTTATTTATCAGGGCCGGCCCCTCCATACAATTGTATCTCGGTCTCGGCGGCAGGGCTAGGATACACCGCCCTGGGTAAAAGAATAAGTGTATTATTGCTGGATGTTGTCATCTATGCTGTTTGCTTTTGTTGTTCTGCCCTTCTATGGTAGTGGGGTCTCGAGTGGTATTGTGTTCGCTGGTTCTGTAAAAGTTCGAGCAAACCCCTGATTAGAGTCTTCTCTGGCGACACTTATGAGCTGGTGACTCTGCAAAATCATTCAGATCCTGACTGTCTAGGTTGATGTTAGCAAGGCCATGCAATCGTAGAGACACGCTCCAACAAAATTATGATGCAGTTCAAAAACGACAAAGATGATTGTGTAAACAGGACTTGAACACGTTGTGAAGGTTCTGCGCACGGTATGGTTGTTGTATCATCTGGGCAACACGAGACCGTCAACGTGCTACTAGATGCTATTCTATTTGGTGTGGCTACTGTTAATGTTGGTTATCTTCGTGGTCGTTCAAATGAAGTCAATTAGACGGTGAGCAAAAAACCTTGATATTTGATGTTTGCAGGAGGTGAGATGGAGGTTAATGCTAGTGTTGGTGCTAGGTTAATATCTGGTAAAGATACTCAGTACAAATCCTTCTGGGTAGGTAACAAAGAGGGAACTGCTGGTGTCGGTTGATTAAAGGCAAGGAAGATGCTACAGTAGGTGGTAATGACAGGAGTGTGTTGACATTGACTCAATGCAATATGGCTTTATGCCTGGAAGAGGAACTGTCGATGCAATTTTATAGTTCGGCAAGTGCAAGAACGTTATATGGAGAAAAAGAAGGACTTGTATTTTGCATTCGTGGATCTTGAAAATGCGTTTGAAAGGGAATCTCAAAAGGTTCACACATTGGTACTAAGAGTAGTAGGTTTGGATGAAAGGATCATTCGGGTTATATTGGCTAGGTAGGCTGATGCTGAAAGCGTAGTTAATATAAATGGCAAACTTGATGAGGCATTTCCTGTTAAAGTTGGTGTCCACCAGGGTTCGGTGCTTAGTCCCCTGCTCTTCATAAAAGTTTTAGAGGCTCTGTCATGTAGATTCAGAAAGGAGTTGCCATGGGAACTACTGTATGCAGATGATTTCGTTCTTATCGCTGAGGGACTAGAAGAGCTAGATGCTATATTTTCACTTTGGACAGCAAGGCTAACGTGTGGTCCATGCCAATGTAGTGGCGTCAAAGGTCAACTATCTAAAGCAAAATATTTCTGATGTAAAAGTTGTACTTCTGATTTAGAGGCTAGACATGCTCTGACTGAGGTTCAACTTGGAAACTGCAATCTCGAGGTCATTGACCAATTATGTTACCTTTGCGATGCAAGTGGCAGGCATAATCCGCGGTGATTTGCAGGGTGCGCAGCGGCTGGGTTAAATTCCGTGAGCTGCTGCTTCTCCTGACATCTAAAGCTGTTTCTTTGAAGGTTAGAGAACAGTTACATAAAACCTGCGCCGGATCTGCCCAACTGTACGGCTGTAAAACTTGGCAAACTAAATCTGACGAGAGACAGAGGCTTCACTGAAATGAAATGGCAAATGGCAATGGTCCGTTGGATAAGTGGTTTTTATCTCCGCAAACGAAAATCATGCAATAAAATGACAGACCATGTTGTAATTGACTCAATCAAATCAGAAGTAGAACGTCCACGCCTTCGCTTGTTTGGTCATGTAGAGAGGCGGGATGAGAGTTTCTGGTTGAGACGTATTCAACAACTTAAAGTAAATGGCACCAGAGCACGCGGTCGTACACGAAAAACATCGTTACAATCTGTAGACAGTGATCTTCGAAGCAGAGGACTAACAAGGAATCTGGTGCAAGACAGAGTGGGATGGAAAACAGCATCCAATGATAGTACAACAAATATTTGCATGGCAAAATGTACTTTAAGGCCAATGATAGTGATAGTGATGATGAAATGCCTTTAGTTCTACGCAAGTAGATTTCAACTAGGCGCTGAAGTGACTTCAACTTTTGCAAATCATGAGACAATACTTGAATTCACAGACATTTAATGAATATTTTGAAAAAAACTATCTAGAAATTCTAGATAATTGATACTTTATAGGGCAACAAGCTTTGACTTATATCCAGACAATTTTACAGAATTAGATTAAGCAAAATTAGTGACTCAGAAAGAGACATGGAGCAAAAGCATTGTGATTCTACAATGACAGCCAGGGGGGGGGGCAATTTGGTCTTCTGCACACCCAGAATGACTGGTTTCGGCGGGGGGAGATCACTTGTTGTTGGACAGGGTTATACAACGCCTGGCTACCGAATTTTTACTGGAATTTTCCGCCCCTGTTGCCGAGTTTCCTTTCAGGAGACCACAGGTCATAAATTGGACCACAAAAAGAGCTGCTGGTCTCCCACTGGGAGACTACCTTTTTTACTGGCATTGTCCACCCCTGGACAGCTGTAATTAGTAAAATGACGTTCATAAACTGCAGCTTATGTATCCCAAAGAAACTGATAACCTGCTCGAATTATTATGATCAAGTCTAGCATCTCACAAAATATATTGAATACCTTGTATAATTCATTCTGTATGTTGAAATATCTTCGTTTTGTATTCTTATTCTCCTGGCATTTGGTGTTTCCAATTTCCAGTGATTAAGGCATCTCAGGAACATTCTTGCTAGCTCGTGCATTATTTGCCTGTCTCTTTGTGGAAGGTGTTTGAATTTATAAACAACAAAGTTCTTCACCCCCTAAGACAAATAGAAAATTTTTAAAAAATAATTATGTCCCCAATTACCTAAAAGATGTGTCGCACAGTTCATTGTATGTCTTCATCAAATAATTTTGAATATTTCTACAAAAGACAAATATTAATTAAGTTTTAAGTCACTGAAGTTAAAACAAAGTTAAAATCGATTTCTCTAAATGGTATTTTTAAAATTGATTAAAAAATACAAATACGGATGATTTATTGTAAGCAAACGTTTTGCTAAAAATGTTGTTTAAACTTACCTTTTGCACTAAACTGACAGCTTGCATACAAACTTGTAATGTGAAATGCTTGTATCCTGTTTAGACACCTTGAAATTATTTATCTTGATATAATTTTTAAACCTTTAAATAACAAGATACTACGATGATTTAAAAACAGTCTTTGGAGAGAGGCAAAGAAAAGGCTAACCTGCTCGATATTTGGTTTTTCAAAAGGTGGCGGACCTAGTGGCCCTTCAACAGATGGTTTGGTCATTTGTAGAATGCATTTTCGCAGAAGCTTGAACAAGTAAAAGTACACTTGCTTATTCCCAGGATCTTCTTCTTTGTGGACACACATAAATAGATTCTCAACATCAACTACCATAGAAAGCAAATAGTTTAGCTCATCTTCTGATACATTTTGCAAATGAGACACATGGTGACCAAGCGCATGGCTGCAACTTCTGCAGCAATCTTCTAGCTTTGCAAAGGGCTGAGTAATATCTACTTTGGTACCAGGCTGAGGAGGAGGGTTAGGGTTTTTCCATCCATTACAGTTACAGCTTTCATCCGCCTACAAATAAACAAAAAAGTAATTATATTGTTCAGAAATACCAAACCAAGGCGATCTTAACAACAAGCTAAATCTAGTAATTGTTATGCTTTACTCTTTTAGGTATTGCGTTAAACTCATTATAACTTTCTGTCTCATATTTCAAACATATTTTATGAAGAAAATTCATAGATCATAACACTTTTAGCCATTGTATTTTGCTGGGTATAAGATGTACCTTTTTCTAACTATTATTGATTGTGTTCAAGGATGCATCCTGTATATGGTTACATTGAGTTTCCCATCATTTCCTTTTTAGGGCAAATGGCTATATCATAAACAATAAATTATGGTATTTAGAGCACCTAATCTATCAACTTGAATAACTACATTTTTCAAATGTAACAATAAATAATGAAAAAACATAGAAAACCATCAAACTATAAGTGGCATCTCAATCCCGATCATACCCTTATATTTTGTTCTTTGTGTATAGGGTGAATGTGTTTTGAGAAATCAGTTGCATTCATTGAATAGGAAAATCATTTCACCTCACTGTCACCCTGGTTGAAACATTAAAAAAGGCAGAATATTTGTTCAAAATACTTTGTTAACCTAGTGTTGCATTACCCTTGTCCTATCCTCCTGGTCTTAAACTAAAAGCTATAGGATACACTTTGGCAAAATGGTAATAAAAAAGCCGTGAGAAAATCTGGAATTAACAAAGCAAAGGTTCAATGGAGCTTAAACGTAAAGGATGGTTTAACAAAGTGCTCAAAGTTGGAGCCTGCTTCTCGTTGGCAACCTGTTATAGTTCCTGAATTACCTGTAAGAACTGATGAACAACAGTTGTTGAATCAACAAGAATCACATGCTATCTGCAAAAGACTGTAAGGATCTTTTGATGAAACAGATGATGAAGAAGAATTTTTTGAACTTTAAAACCTGTGATTTTTATTTGATGATTTGAATGGAATGCTACACAAGTTAGTTTGCATGAATTTTTCTCTGCAGAGTTAGCTTCTTTAGTATTCTTGAGCTTATTTCATTTTTGCACTGAAATACACATGCCTTACAAGTAACGTGAAAAGAGGATGCATCTTATACATGATAATACTATCAAGTATTTTCTAAGAGTTTTTTAACAAAGGATCAAGAGTGCATCTCCTACAAGGTTGCATATTGTGTATGGTGAGCCAATTTACTAAACAAAAATGGATAGCCAGTGAAAGCTCAGGATGCAAATTTATCTTGGAAACATAGTTTCTCCAAATAGTCTAGTTGTTTAACTCCAATTCTTGGTCAGATTGTGACAAACTGGAAAAAAGTACCAAACTTTTCATGGTGATACCTAGGGGCATGGAGAACATTTTCAGAAGGCGTCCAACTTTCAATCGATTCCAGGGGTAAGCTAGAAATGAAAATCTTATGACATCCTACTCTCTGGAAATCTCTGAAAGGATTTTGGTGATAATTTTATGTCAGGTTGCGTAAATAGGGAGAGTTTAGATGACTGATTTATTACTGTAAAAGAACCATACGAATAACCCTTTTTCTTTTTCAGTACATTGAACATTTCTCAAAACCGGAGGTGAGCACATAAACGCACAGAGATCACTGAGATTTTGCCTGGGTACCAGTTGAGCCAGAACAGCCAGGAAAGTAAAAGGGTTCTGATTTAATAGTTGTCTAAACAAAATTTTAGCGTTAGATGTAGGCACATGTAGGAAAGAACCTATTTCTTTTACTCAAGCAATAGCATTAAGATGAGAAAAAGCTAGCAGAACTGTTCTGAAGATTTGTCTCCTGAACAATCTAATTTTGCTTGCGCTTGGATGTTGAATATGAAGCAGAGCAAAGAGGGTAAGGTTATACTGCATGTAATAAAAAATTAACAAGAAGTGCACAAAAAGGCTGAAGAAGGGATTGATTATTGTCAATGATGACAAAAAAATTGCACGCTCTGGCTGAGTTTGAAAAATACTATGTCAATGAGTTATAACTATGTAAAACTTTGTGTCGCAAGTGGTTTTAGCATTTGATTACAAAAGTTTCAAGGAAACCCTTTTAGTATGGTTTAGCTTTGGAAATAAGATAAGAAAATTTTTGGAAAAAAAATAAATTTGGTGAAAGCATCTAGAAGTTGCCCCATCTGTTGACGTAGAGATTCAAAGAGATGAGCTTAATTCAGTTGAGCAAAATCATTATCAGCTGAAAAGTGTTATAGCTAAATGCAAAACTGAAGGCAACTATACAGAAGATGCAGAACAAAGCAGTGTTACAGAACAAGTGGAAGTTGCTTGCAAGGACTGTTAAATGTGGGCTATCAAAATTTAGACAGTACAAGCAGGCCAAAGGCAATACTTGCATGTTTTATGCACATTCTCAATCACTTAGTCAACTGCAAAAGTTTGTTTCCAAAGTTAAAGATGTTAAAGTATTATTTAGGAAGCACTGTGACAGAAGGTAGACCTTTAGTTACAATGCTAAGGAGTATCAAATATATATTGCTGGACAGCTTAAAAAATGAAAACATTATAGATTGTGTGGCTCAAGCAGTCAAGGAATAGCACAATTACTTTTCTAGAGAAAAATTGAAATCCTAATCAGATAGAATATTTGTTATTGTAACTATGTTAATTTTAATGATTAGCCTTTATGTGTAATCAATAGTTCAACTGGTATGTTATGTTGCCTGGAAACTGATTGTTTATGATGAAATGGTCACTTGACCACACCTTAGTTTATCAGCTCATACGGGCCGGAATCCCATTCAAATCTTGGTGGTCAGTTGAAAGTTTTGTGCCAGTCTACCACTCTCTAAAGTTTTCAACATCAAAACTGGAAAATAGGGACAAAAATGATCCGACTGTAGCAAGGAGACAACTATTTTGTTATCATGGATTTCATTATCAAGAAACTTCTTCTAAATTCCATAAAAATCATAAGGTCAGGCCTTCAGGGATAAAAAGCATGCAGGCTAAAAAAGAACCCTGCTGGTTTGACTGCATGGGGCTGTTTAGCCTTTGCAGAATTGGTTGTTTATCTATTTATATTTGAGTATATACAAGCCAAAAAAGAAATTAACTTGTCTACTTGTAAACATGATTTACCTTAAGAAGACAGTTGTTTTGTGTGGATCACTACTCCTAAAATGACAATCTGCTATTTTTGCAAAATAGCAACGTTTCGTGTACGAACACAGATTTATTAAGTAGTATCCAGTGAAACCCATCTTTATTCAAAAAGATATAGAGCAGTACAATGTTATTTAAAGGATAATGGAAGATTAAGTTGTTTCGCATTAAAAATTCAAGAAAGAATAACTGAAATACACTTCTTTTCTATTAGAAATGAAGGTTGACTTGGAGTACTCCAGTTTCTTAACAGTATAGAAAATTTCAATGCTCGTTCTTTCTTAAGAGTTTCTTAATCTGAAAAAAGCACGGAAGAGCAATAAAATAACATGATAAAAATTGGCGAATAACATATACATAAACTTCAAAGCATAAAAGGGAAGCAGAAATGCGGATCGAAAGTAAGGAGAGAGTTCAGACAGGGTAAGTGATTGGTTCTATGTTTTTTACAAATCCCAAATGTTTATCTCACTTTGTTGAAGAGTCAAAGAGCAAAAACGAATTATTTCTGTTTACGAACTTTTTTAATGCTTTTCCGATTGCCCAGTTGTCGTTTCTCATATTGTGTTTCTTATAAAAATGAATGTATTTGTAACACAAATTTCGTACTTGACAATGTTGTGTAACAATTTTCACTGTTGCTATTTTACGCTATCTGTTGTTCCTTTCCTGCACAAACATTCTCTATTCCATTGCTAGTTGTAACACTATAGTTAGTTAACATTTGATGTCAAAAGAAACAGAAATTTCCTTTTTATAACGATATTTATAAAAACCATATATCTCTTTGATACAACATTATTTATGAATACCCTGATATATAGCAGAGGTATGTAGTTAAAACATTAGAGAGTGAGACCAAGCGGGTTCAATGAGAGCGTTGTTATAAACAACTGCCTGGGCAGATAAAGCCCTTGGAAAACTTTTTCGCCCGCGTCCCCAGGAAGGACCTGCATAAGGTGTGCCATTACTAGCATGCCAACAAATTCCATATTACCAGTACTGTTATGGTAATTCATGGCTCCCAGATAATTTCTCCACCCAATGGGCAGCAGAATGAGCAAAATTAGTAATGTTTTAATGTTTAGCATTTACTTCCCTTTTCCTTGCTGCTTTAATTAAAACAAGGAATGATGCGTTGCAAGGTAGTTTTGAGATGAAAATGTTGAAAGAAACTCAGCGCAAAAATGTGTTTTATGTTTCTAACTGTGATAATGGAAACATCCTACAGTTCGACAATTATTGGAGACTGAAAAGTAACCGACAGAGCCCGTTTCTTCTTCCATTTTTTTCCTTCAAGTTGTCAGTTTTAGGGTCTGAGCATAAATCATAGATTTCTGTACCTTACAAGAGGAATAGACTCCTAACTTCTCTAATTTTTTCAAGCGCGGGTACGCCTTCACTTGGGCTTTTTTCTGTAATATCCTTTGAATATTTGAAGGTCTTGTCAATTCAGATGGTGTTATTTGAGACGATGAAGCTTTCCTCGCTTGTTGCAAATTACTCTCGTCGGGTGATCCCGGGCTCAAACCTTTACCTGCCATCGAACTGTTTCCTGTTCTAAATGGGCCTGTCGCCATGTTTTCTTTTTCACATTTTCGTATAATTGTTTTCGAAGGATAGCCACGGTATCAACTCGAGGTTCCCTCGGTATAGTCAGATAATAGAAATGGTTTTACAGTTAAAATTACAAAGGAAACTCCTCTAGAACTAGGGAAATTATTCTTTATTTTTAAGGGATCGGTATGAACTAGAATATGTTGTGCGACGTTAGAATAGTTTTTGCATAGAATGATGCCCGCTCCATTTCATAAACCAAAATTTGTTCTTACAGTCCCACTCCCATCCCGTTTTAAGCTCAAGGGCAATTTTGAAACCCTTAATTTAAATTTACCCAATAAATGTCGAGATTTACACACATAAGAGCTAGTAACATAAGAGTTCATTTCAGAGTGTTGTTTTTTAGCTAGCAATGGTTTTAGACTTATTAACGAGGGTTCCTTTGTAATTTTTATCAGCCAGACATTGAAGCTAGACGGTGATGCAACTATAACAGGTGGGGCTGCAACTATGCTATCCTTACAGCTAAACAATTTTGGGTACAAGTTTTAAAGTTAATTATTGCCAAAAACCTTTAACAAGGAAGAAAGGCCAAGACAACACGCTAAGAGCCAACTGTTTAGCACGATACAACCCGTGTAATAGATCATCTTCATTTTAGTTTCTCACTATTTACCGTACGGAACTGATGATCCAACATACCATAGTCTATGTCAGCTAAGATCTGTAAAGAACCGTGACTGATCATCAAAATGAAAAAGCTTCCGATCTCAGAGAAGAAAACTAACACCCCCTTATGTTTTTAATCCAGTGTTGGAAAAATTAGAAAGTCGATCTTAGAAAGAGTGGGGTGAACATGTCCACCCCAGTCCATCCCGTAACGCCGCCCCTGATAACCTATACCTTATACATAAACAATTGCTTGGTGGCCGAAAAACTTATCATATCATAGGCGTCAACGAATTGTAATCAGATTGCACGATAGCAAATGAAGCAAATCTGTCCTACACGGGCAACAATGTATCTGAAAGACGTGCAAAATTCATCTTACATATACAATGACATTCGTAGATATAAAAGAAAACAGGTCATTGCTTTTTTGAAAACAGCAGGAAAGCTATCCAGAGGGTTGCAGCTTTAAAAGCTACTTGATAATGACTGCGACAGTAAGAAAGTTTACCTATCAATATTTATCTATTTATTAATATTTAGGCCAATACACGAATACATTTAAGCTAAAATAAACGAAAAACAAATTAGAAAATTATCAACTTATCAACACTTTGTCTAAATTTGCGGGCGTGTTTTGGTACTGCATGTTCTAAGGTTCCAAAGATACCCTGTTCGTAAACGAGCGATTGATTCTTTCTCTCGAATGTTGTCAAGGATATCGTTCCTGTAAAAAAGAGAAGTAGAAACTTCGTTTTGCATATTTAACCTAATTCTGGGAATTTGCAAATCACTAAAATTTCAACAGGAGGTATATTCATATATTTTTAGGATAGGGGTTCCCAGATTACTTTTATGAGTCTAGAATTGAGGCTAAAGTTTTTTTTTGGATCAGTCAATTTTTCAAATACTTCTTTGGATTCATGAAACTCTGAAATACTTTTTTGGGTCGGAAGAAAAGAGTTTAAAGCCTCAGCACCCCCTATCCTAAGTAAAGTTAAGTCCATCTTTCTTTGTACTTGGCATTCTCTATTAGCTTCATATCCCTTGTTTGTTGGGTTAGGTTGGTGTTGGAAAAAATGCTCCAAATAGAATGGCTTCAAAGAGAGCTTTATAGACCTGGTCAAGTTTTCTTTGCAGATGAACATTTTGCAGCTTCCTAAAGGAGCTTAAGCTTCTTTTCAATTTTATGCTGACTGTTTTGTAGTTGGTTTTTTAAGTTCTCCCTTGTGCATTTACGATTGTAACAGTCTTACCTATCGTTGCAAACTATCTATGTAAAAGAAAGGTTTGTAATTGTAGTGTAATTGAATTTAGATGAAAGTTTTTTATTATTATTATCATAATTTTATTACAATTATCGTATTCATTTATCTTATTACCTTAGGCCCGCATAAAGAAAGCGTTTGAAGGATCTGACCAAGTCTCCAAAAAGGTTGCCCAACCCTGGACAATAGCTTTTTAGAGAAGAAGACCAGAAAATTTTCAAGTAATATGATTTAAGCACCTGGTTTTGTGTATATTATAAGACTTTATGTCCAGTTTTATTTCAGTTTTAATGTCGTTATGTTATGTTCAAATTTATGAAAACGAATTTAAATGCTTGTTAGATTTTTGTCGAAAAATCCAAATTTCTCGCCACTCTTACGAATTCCTTATCTAGGCCACTGTCTCCAAAGCCTACAAAATCATAACTTTTCAATAAAAACGCAAGAATTAAGGATAACTGGTCAGCGACCTGATTAAATGTAGAAAATCTTCTCGCTATGTTAGGAATTTCCCACCTCATATGGGCAAACTCGACAAAGGCGAAACTTCACCATTTTCATTAGGGGGGTATGAAGCTTAGATGTCCGACGAAAGGGCGCGTCATGCTGGATGAAAGGGCGTGTCATGTATGAACATCATTTTTAGGGCACATCGCCTCAAGGGTTGAAATCATCGGGGACCCCAAGAAAGGGTCACTAGGCATGTTAAGCCGTTTTTCACAGACAAAAAAATATGCCTCTAGTTTTTCTGGTATTGGCTATAAACATTTGTTTCCGAAAAGCAAGCATTTGTAAGGCCTGTCTTGTTTATAAAAGAAAAATAGTTTTCACTTTCTAAATCACCTAGCTATTAAGAGAGCAATTTAAAAAAGAGAGTAGGGTCTCGATTTTATCACAGTGCAACAACTAAACACAGCTTCGAAATTTCGGAATTTAGAAACAGCTACGCAGACTACAATGTTTTAACCAAAAAGAGCTTCAGCGAGTTTGAATTTCAACTTTCGGCTGCTCCGTAAGGAATTTAAACATTTTTAGACACCCAAGCACAAAGTACGTATCTCTGAATTCACCATAACAAAATCCCTCAAGCTTGTGCAAAAAAAGCTTTTTTGTTGGAAATATTTTACAGGAACACCTATCATCAAAGCTCATTTTTCGTGTTTCGTAATCATGGATACTGTTCAGAAATAAAAGAAACTTGAAATTGTTTTGCAATTCATATCTTAAGTTACAATTCCTCGATAAATTTTCTATTATTTCTCGCTTGAACTGTCGGCTTAAAACTTTCTTTTACTTTTTACAGCTAATTGAATTTTTTTAGTTCAAAAACTTTGACGGATGTACGGCCACTTTTGGCGAAGGGTGCAGTACTTTCGGACCGTAAATGTAAAACATTAAGAGAATTTCGGGGCATAACTCCTTATGAATGTATGGTGAAGTTTCATACATTCGGAAAAGAAAACGTTGGTTGATTTTTCTCAACAACTTATTCCGAGATGGCATATCTTTCATGCTTTGATTTATGATGCTTCTAAAACTGTCAGTGTTCCATGGGCTCCGACGCAGGGTGGAAAGTGGGAGAGGGGGGCGGTTCAATTGAAACTTTAGCAATCATAACAAGAGATTTTGAAAAAAGCTCTCTTGTTTTGCAAAAAGCGGGGGGCATGTCTTGCATCCAACACACTTTACTTTCCGTCTATACTTTCGCTGTCGATCAATACTTCAGACTCTACTTCCGAGAAACTGTTAATGTAACAAATACATAACCTTGAAAGAAATCTCATGGTTATGTATTTGAAAGAAGTCTCGTATCTCATAGATTGTTTAACGCTGGGGACAAGTTGCGCTAAGAATTTTGTCTCGGGGTTCTCAATATGTATGTCTTACAACCGATTACGACTTTTGGGCTTATTTGTTTTTTTGGATTCCTGTATCATCTTGCTCTGTATTATATTGTATTATTATCTGTATCCGGTATTATACGAAGTTGCATTTCGCCAGCGAACCAAAGATACCATAGAATCAGCTAGTCAACCACAGAGTCAGTGCTCACTTATTGCGGCATATCAAATATGAAATTGAATAGGACACAAGAAAACAAGCTCAACTCGTTTCACGATCGCGCGATGCAAATAATTGGCAAAACGTAAACATGTAGAGCTACAACACCAAAAAATACCATCAAATCCTGCATGTTAGTACACAGTGCTCTACGTAACAATGTCTGTCACGCTGTAAGTTGATAATTTATGTATCAAGTAACCTGCAAGAACACAAAGAACAATACACGTAAAGCATGCCTTTCACGGGTAAGGATTGAATACGCGAGGAAAGGCTTTTTCATACGGATGCAAAGAGTTATAATGAACTACTATCTACAGCCAGACAATGTATCTGCTTTTATCAAGATTATATATAATATCTACGCATGAGATTTAATATGTTAATACCATTGAAGTGCTTTTTCTACCCGCAATTGTAATATCTTTATATCTTCTTCTAAATCACTTTCCTCTTTGTAGGACAAACATTAATAACAGTAATCTTGAAATTGTTGAAGTTTTTCCCTGTTAAAATATCCGTCATTATTATTGTTATTATTTTCTCTTTCTATCGACCAACAATACAAACCGTATCTTATCTTAAAACTTTCCAACATAGCGTACCACATTTGTACCACTTGCTTATTCTTCGTTGTAGAAACAAAACATTGAAAACCCCAGACCTTCTACCATTTTGATATATTTATACACATATATATATAATATTAGTTTTTTTCTTTCTTTCTTAGTTTGCCTTTTCATTATAGGATTGTTTTAGTCTTATTCTGTAACCTTTAGTCTTATAGTGTTATTCTGTAAGGTTTGTGATTGTAGGTTAATTTAATTGAAATGAATAGTTTTGATTATTATTACGAAGAGTCAAGTGGGTGGGTACCCAATAGGGCTCCTGATTCACGAAATCCCGCAACGTTCTCAGCCCCATACCCGGCCATCAATTCCCGAATCCCGCTAATATCGATTTCCGAATCCCACTACTATCGACTTCCGAATCTCTCTACTATCGATTTCCGAATCTGGCTACTATCGATTCCCGAATCCTGCTACTATCGATTTCCGAATCTCTCTACTATCGATTTCCGAATCCCGCTACTATCAATTCCCGAATCCCGCTACTATCGATTTCCGAATCTCTCTACTATCGATTTCCGAATCTGGCTACTATCGATTCCCGAATCTCGCTACTATTGATTTCCGAATCTCGCTACTATCGATTTCCGAATCTCGCTACTATCGATTTCCGAATCTGGCTACTATCGATTTCCGAATCCCACTACTATTGATTTCCGAATCTCGCTACTATTGCTTTCCAAATCTCGCTACTATCGATTTCCGAATCTCGCTACTATCGAATTCCGAATTCCGCTACTATCAATTCCCGAATCTCGCTACTATCAATTCCCGAATCTGGCTACTATCAATTCCCGAATCTCGCTACTATCAATTCCTGAATCCCGCTACTATCGCTTTCCGAATCTCGCTACTATCAATTCCCGAATCTGGCTACTATCAATTCCCGAATCTCGCTACTATCGATTTCCGAATCCCGCGTCTTTCGATTTCCGAATCTCGCTACTATTGCTTTCCGAATCTCGCTACTATCGATTTCCGAATCTCGCTATTATCGATTTCCGAATCTCGCTTCTATCGATTTCCGAATTCCGCTACTATCAATTCCCGAATCTCGCTACTATCGATTTCCGAATCCAGCTACTATCGCTTTCCGAATCTCGCTACTATCAATTCCCGAATCTCGCTACTATCGATTTTCGAATCTCGCTACTATCGATTTCCGCATCTCGCTACTATCGATTTCCGAATCCCGCTACTATCGATTTCCGTATCCCACTACTATCCATTCCCGAATCTCGCTACTATCGATTTCCGAATCCAGCTACTATCGCTTTCCGAATCCCGCTACTATCGATTTCCGAATCTGGCTACTATCGATTTCCGAATCCCGCTACTATCGATTTCCGAATCTCGCTACTATTGCTTTCCGAATCTCGCTACTATCGATTTCCGAATCTCGCTACTATCGATTTCCGAATCTCGCTACTATCGATTTCCGAATCCCCCTACCATCGATTTCCGAATCTCGAATATTTTT